AATTCAAAATAGAACAAAGACCTAAAAGAAGTGTAAGATCTTAAACTAAAAGTGCTAGAAGAAAACAGGAGAAACACTTGCCATTATAAGCACAAGCAAAGGCTTCCTGAGTAGGACACCAACAACATAGGAAATAATAGCACTAACTAACAAATGGGACTACATTAAACTAAGAAGCTTCTGCAGGACAAAGGAAATAACAGAATGAAGAGAGAATGCACAGAATGGGAGAGAAACTTTGCCAGCTGCTCTTCTCACAGAGGATTAATATCAAGAATATGTAAAGCACTCAGAAAGCTTAACACCAAAAATTCAAATAGCCCAACCAAGTGGAAAAAATAATTCTTACCCCAGTCAGAGTGACTACCCTCAAAAAACAATAGAGGAGGATAGGAACCTTTCTACACTGCTGGTGGGAACTTAAAGTAGTTAGCCACTATGAAAATCATTACGGAGGTTTCTTTAAGTAAAAATAGAACTGTCATCTGACCCAGCTATCCCACTGCTTGGGCTACACCGAAAGGAATTTAAATCGGCATACTATAAGGGTACCTCCCTGTCCATGTTTACTCCAGTACAAGATATGGAGCCAGCCTAGGTGCCTATCAGCAGATGGACACATAAAGAAAATGTGGTATACACACACAACATAATATTATGCAGCCATAAAGAAGAAAAATATTGTTATTTGCAGGTAAATAGATGGAACTGGAAATAATCATGTTGAACAAAATATGCCAGACTTAGAAAATGAGTATCAATTTTTCCCTACTATTTGGAACTTAAAAGAATAAAATACCAAAAAACAAAGATGACATGAAAGTAGAAGGAAGACTATTATTACACAAGAGAAATGGAATAAAGGAAACGGGGAGACGGGATGTATAGGAGGTTGGTAGGACAGATGATCTGATCAAAATATGTTTTATGCATGTATGAAAGTGTCACAATGAAGCATAATATTTTCTATAATTAATACGCTCCAAGAAAAATCTTTAAAATTTCTTTTGAAATAAGTAATATGAGAGCTACTTTAAAGATGGCAAAATTGAGGGGTGATAGCTCTACTTTCCTGTTTAAAAGCCACAGAACTTTCTCTCTGATGAAGTTAAAAAGCAGTTCGATCCTGACCCACAACTCATTTTAAGGAAGAGGATGGGAAGGCTCTGGGACACATAAAATCCGTGGGGAGGGCTGAGCGGTTTCTCAAGAGGAAACCGTGGAGGTGGAAGTTCAGGTAAAGAACCTGGCGCAGGAAGTGCTCAGTGGGTACATTTACAAAGGAGATTTGTTTTCTTTGTTCTCTTTGAGCACAGCCAGGTTAAAAGAGAGGGCATGAAGATGAGCCAGCATGAGTGAGGGCCTTTCAAAGAGGGGTGATCTCACACACACACACACACACACACACACACACACACACAATGACCCTTGGAGCCTGGGGCAGGACCAGCCACAAGCCAGCCAGTATGAGAAGTCAGGAAAGCTTGGAGGACACATGCCCGCCTTGGGAGGTTGCTTCCCTGACTCTAACCAGATCCCTCTGTCTTCTGATACCCCACTGGCAATCAACCTGAAACTGGAGAAGTGTGGCTGAGCTTCAGCTGTGATAAAGGCCCCATTCTCTCTGGCCAGAGGCAGATGTAGCCCATGTGAGGCAGCGAGATCCCAGCCCAGGAACAGCCACACTGCCTTGTCTTCCTCCCAGGGTGACTGTGTAGCTCTGATGACCTATAAATGATAGAAATCGCCTTGTTAAGTGCCCCAAGCACTAGCCATTGAGGTTATCAATACCATTATCATTAGACTGTCCCTCAGGTCATCCGCCAGCTGTTCTCCACCCCTTTCTCCTCCTGCCCTTGTGGAATGCAGCTGAATCAAGGATGGAAAGGCTCCCAAGCTCATGCCAGTCTTTCCCGAAATCCTCTCTCTCCTTCCAGACCCTCAGCCTCTGGGTAGCTGGTGTTGAGTCAAGAGAAGGTCCCTACTTTCAACCCCCAAATTCTCTCCATTTCTGACCCTTCTATCCAGGAAAGAACCCTGAATGGACATCATGGAGCTTGCTGCGTGGTTTGGGGCACCTCCCAATCCCTCTCTGATCTAGCTGCCTGCATGGTCAGATGGAAGTGATGATTCTAACCTCACAGGGTTACCCTGAGAATTGCACGAGGGATATAGGGTAAAGAACTGAGCACAGTCGCTGAAACCCAGGATGAGTTTAGCACATGTATACACACCTGGCTGACTGAAATCCCTCTATGAACAGTTCTCCCTTTGGGTCAACTTTTGCTTTCTTCCTCTGTGACTTCTTTTAAAGTACAAATACCCCCAGGAGGGACACACGAAAGTCACTGGTCCCACGAGGTAATGGAGACGGAGCTGATGTTAGCTCCCATTCTGAAATAACAAAGACCAACGCTTCAAGGTCAGGTTTGGTTTTGAGGAAACCAGACTGTCTTCTGATGCCTACCTCCATCCTGGAGTCATCTTCACTCCCACTCTGGCCCACTAAGGTCTTTATTCTAAAACTTTTGGTATAAGTGGAGAGGATAGTTTTATGGAGCATAGGCTTCTCAGACCAGTGGCGGATGCCTGCTAGAGCGCTGGGACCCAGCTTCAAACCAGAGCTCTGTCTGCCATCCAGTGGCCACTAATGAGATTGCAAGAGAAAGAGCCGGTGAGAAAATCCCAAGAAAGCAGCGCTGGCCAGGGGCAGGGAGGGGTGGATTGCGGCCTTTGCCCACCTTCAGTGTCCCCAGTCAGTTCAGTACCCTGATGTCCCCACCCCATGCTTTTGCCTGTTCCTGGTTGTGTTTCCTTCCTATGTGAGCAACCGAGTCTGTCCTCTATGCCTCAGTTTCCCCAACTGTAAAATGAAAGGATCGGGCAAGGTGAGGTTTCATGCTACCCATAGCACATCAGCTCATCCGACCCTCCTGTCCAGGTAAGACCTTGAGCACCCCCAACCCCATACTCAGATCACTCCTGACCACGCACACACTCATTCTTCACTCACCTGAAGAAGGGTTTTCATGGCTGCCTGTTGTTTCCAGCTTAGCTCAAAGATCATCTCCTCCTGGATTTCTCTCTCCTTACCTGCCTACTGTTCATTCTCTTGTCTGAAGCCCCTAACTTTCTGTTACAGTGAGGAGGACACTGTCCCCTCCAGCCCTAAGCTCCCCTAGCTCAAGGGCTTTTCTCAAGCAGGTGTGTCCCCCTGCGTAGCCAGGGGCCAGGTGCAGAAGCCATGCAGAGTGCCTGCTCTGGAGTCAGTGAGCCTGGTTTTAGCCCTGTATCCTGAGCAGAATAATGCCCCCCCAAGATGTCCACAACCTAATCCCTAAAAGCCTGTCACTTTACAGGCCAAAAGAGACTTTGCAGACGTCATTACATGAAAGTTTGAAATGGGGAAATTATCCGTGATTATCCAGATCATCACAATATATTCACAGGGATCCTTCTAAGACAGAGACAGAAGGGTTACACTCTGAGAAAGGAATGTGATGGCAGAAGCAGAAGTTGAAGGGATGAGGGGCCATAAGCCAAGGAATTCAGGTAGCCTCCAGAAGCAGGAAAAGACAAGGAAACAGATGCCTCCAGAAGGAATGCAACTCTGCCAACCCATCTTAGACTTCTGGTCTCCAGAAATACAAGGTAACAAGTTGTGTTATATTTACATTCCCAGGCAGGGGATATAGCTCAGCAGCACAGCGCCTGCCTGGTAAGCACAAGGTCGTGAGTTCGATTCCCAGTACAGGGGAAAAAATAATAATACTAATAGTTATATATATATATATTTACACTTCTTATTTGTGGTGATTTGTTATAACAGCCACAGGAAATTAATCAGTTTCTTACTAATTATGTGACTTTGGGAAATTAACTGCTCTATGTCTCCATTTCTGCATCTGAAAATGGGAATGCTAAAGGCAATAGCTTTTTTTCCCCCAGTATCAAGAACTGAACCCAGAGCCTTCACACAAAGCTATATCTCCAGCCCTTTTATTTTATTTTTTACTTTGAGACAGGGTCTTGCTAAGTTGCCCAGGCAGGAACCAAAGTTACAATCCTCCTGCCTCAGCCTCCCAGAGTGCTGATTGCAGAGGGGATATCCCATGCCTGGCTTAAAGTCAGTAATCTCACAAAGTCATGGCGAGGATAAAATGAAAATACTGCACCTGCAAATCACTTAAAAATAATGCCCCAAACTAAACATGTTAGCTATTACTATAAAACAATTAATGGCTAATAATTAATAAACATAATCAATTGAGGGCCTAATACATACCACGCACACTGCCAGATATCTTGGAAGAATTTCCTCTGTCTCATTACCCTTAAGGGTAACAGTGTGAATCTACACTTTACAAATGAGGGGACAAATCCACAGTAATTTGCCTTAAACCACTCTAGAACTGGAAGCATTTCAACTTTGCAGATCCTTGCATGCACCTGGAGAATGGTACCAGTTGGTGGTCCGTAGGGGCAGAGAAACTAGTTTTGTTTTGTTTCTTGAAGGGGAGTGTGGCAGAGGCGCAGGGCCAGGGGTCTTAGTTAATACCTCCTTCGCTTCCTATCTATTGCAGGAGGGAGATAAAATCTGGATAAAACCCATCTATTTGCCTCTACTTCGCCCATTTAGGGGTTCAATCACTGCCTCTCTTTTGCACCAACTCCCCACCTTTTGAGCCAGATTTGGGGGGTATTGCTCCAGTAAGATGTTCAGTCCGCTGGAGGACAGTGGGTGCAGACTTGCTCAGACCCCTGGGCTTCCTCTTGGGACACCCCCCCACACACACACATCCTGCATAAGAAGCCATCTGTTCGCGGCTGAATAAACAAGGAGAGGGAAGTAGCGCCGGGTCCCCAGCTCCCCAGCCCGACCCCTGCACAATGAGCCTTTCTCCAAGGAGACGCCACCCGGGCGCCATGGAGCGCGCTCCGTCTGGCCTCCCCTCCCCTGGCAGCGCGGCAAGGCCCACAAAACGACCCCATGGAAACCAGTTTTGTTTTGTTTTGTTTTGTTTTTTAAGAAAAAGAAAACAAAAAGAAATCCAACAAAGAACTGAACGCAGCACGCAGCGAGGGCGTGCGGGTCTAGCCGTCGCCCGCCCTGCACACCGCCCCCTCCCCTGGTGCCTGACGTCTGGCTCCGGGTCCAGGCGAGGCCAGCTCGAGCGCACGCTGGGACCCCGCCAGCGCCTCCTCCCCGACAGTGCAGCCCAGGTACTGCCCGGGTTCGAGCCACCTGCGGCCCTCACTTCCTGGTGGCCAGCTGGTTCTCCAGATTCTCCAGGCGCGCAGTCAAATGGGCCAGTAAGTGGTTAAGGAAGCCTATGGGGTTGAGGTCCCTTCATCCTCCCTCCAACCAGCTCTTCGGCTCCAAAGGATATGCTTCTGCGTCAGGCTCTCGAGCGCCCCCAACGTGCGGTCCTGGAACTCAACGAGGCTTTCACACTCGCAAGGGCTCCGAAGCTCTGTCCCGGCGCTGATGCCCTCTTCTGCAGGGAGGAAACAGACTGAGGAACTGTAAGACCGAGCTGGCCGTTGCACTGGCCCTCTGAGTCACCTCCACTGGACCTGGAGTTGAATGTATGGGCTTTGGATTCAGTCAGGCTCGGGCTGAGTCCCAGCCAAGTAGCTGAGAGGAACTGGGAAACCCATTCAACCCCTCCACACCTATTTCCTCATCTACGCAATGAGAATACAGAGAGCCGATCCACTGGTGGTTGTGAGGACTCTGCGACTTTCAAGAGAGTCAACCCTTGGTGCTCATCGGAATCATCGGGGGAACTTGTTAAAATAGGTTCTAAGCCAGGATGGGGGAGAAGCTGATAATCTGCTTTCAATAAGCTCCCAAAGGATGCCGCTACTGCTTCTGCCCCTGCCCCATGGACTATACTGAGTAGCAAGAGTCCGGGGCAGCACGCACTTTCCAAATGAAACTGATGCAGTGATGGAAGTATTCCATATCTGCCCTGTCCAGTGTAGTAACTACAAGCTGCATGCGGCTATGTAACACCTGAAATATGACCGGTTCAGCTGAAGAACTCAGTTTTTATTTTAACTAAGTAGGCACATGTACTGTAGCTACTGTCTGCCTTATTGGACAGCACAGATTTATTTTGTTTTTTTGTTTTGTTTTGTTTTTTGTTTGTTTGGTTTTTTCCCATACCGGGAATGGAACTCAAGACGTTGCACTTGCCAGGCGGGTACTGTGCTGCTGAGCTAAATCCCCAGCCCCTTGGAAAGCACAGATTTAGAACATTTCCCACCACAAGTAAACGCCTCATAGTATGTTTCAAGGAAACCAGTGATACAGAGTGGTCCTCCGACTAGCAGCAACAGTAATACCCAGAAATTTATCACAAATGTGAATCTTCCAGCCCTCCCTCAGACCTCCTGCACCAGCAAATCTGGGTTTGGAGCCCAGCAATTTGTTTTACAAAACCCTCCACGTGGCTTTGATGCTTTTTAATACTTGAGAAAAGCTATCTAGTATTAAAACTATCAATGTCTTTCTCCCTATGCATTTCAACATGGTGGGGGGGAGCGGTTACAATTACACTTTGGGCCTGTTTTTCTTATCAATAAATAAAGTAATGATGAATGTTACCCACCTAGTATCTTAAATTCACTGAAATTCTATAATTGTATGCCACTTTCAGTATTACAGGTAATGAAATAATAAGCACAATGGCCAGAACTTTTCCTTTATAGAGCTGCTCTTATGATTTAAAGGTTATCCCTTAATCTGTCTTGTATGTGAGCTAGTACTGCTGTATGTCATCTTACTGGTGATATCAATAAAAGTCCCATAAAGACCTCTAACTTTACAGATGTGGAAAATACGGGTCAGGGAAGACAGTCTGCCCACAGTCATACAGCCAGCTGGTAAAGAATTTCAACTACAGACCCCAGACTTCACTTACAGTTCTGTAGCCAGAGGTAATCTTGGGCAGGCAAGATTTGCTACCAAAGAGGAAAGTTAAGCTAGGGTGCAGGTTGAGTGACTTGTCCAAAGTCACACCATGGGAGATGTAAGAGTCAGAACAAGAAAGGCCCTGTGAGAGCAGCTAACCCAATGCCTTCACAATGCCCTGGCTAATTATTAGAATCAGCCTAAAGAGAGAGGAAAGAAATGTGTGGATATCCACACATATGGATACACAGATGTGCCAGGCTCAGCCCCACTCTAGTGAACCTATCTTTTATCAGGTGGGGCCTGATAACCTGAAAGAAGTGTCGCATCTTATGCCTGGGTTAGAGCCTAAAGATCCTACAGTAAAAATTACCCCTGAGAAATTTTCCACATCCCCTATAAGGTACAGTATACCTGATTCAACAGTCCCCTCCTCCTCCACAGATACAGTCGGTCCCTTTTCCCTCAGCTGAGAACTAAATGAAGCAGACAGGTTTCATCTGTGGGCCACGTTGTCTAAAAGTTCATGTCTTTGCAGACTTAAAACACACTCCTGCCACTCTCCCACGTCCATAAAGTTAAATTCCAACCAGTTCAAAGGCTATATGCTGGGCTCCACTTACAAGTGCTACAGCTGGCACACCTTTGCAAGTTTTTCCAAATTCTTGTGAACACCACTAATCTGGAGGAAGGTAGCCCAACCTAGTGCTTACTTTTATATGTACAACAGTCACCTGAGGGTCTTGGTAAAGCGCAAATTCTGATTCATTATGTCTGGGAAGCTCTGGAAATGCTGCATTCTAACAAGCTACTGGGTTATGACCTGCCGCTGGTCCACGGGCCACACTTTAAGTAACAAGGTTCAGTCTAGAGAGTCCATCTGCTGGCTGTAACTCTGCATGGGGGTGTGGCACGCGGTGAGTAGGAAGAGGCACTACCAGAGGTTACGCAATGAGGGAATAAGAGGAGCCCAAGAGAGACCTGTTCACCTGGACAGATGCTGCCTTTGAGGTTCTCCAGCAGGTGTGTCATGGTGCTAAAGTCCGGGGAGTAGGACACGTGTAGCTCAGCGGGCTCTGAGGCAATCTGGCGCAGCTCCTCCTCCACCGCCTTGCCTACACCCACAGCGTACATGACAATCCCTGCAGGACAGCGGAACTCAGAAGGTGCCTAAAGCCTTGGGAAAGCTGCCTTCCTGCATCCAGCCCAACCCCTGCCCAGTCGGTCCCGCGCCAAGCCCACCTTCCTCCTTGGCGCGCGCTGCCCACACCGAGATGTCATCCTGGGAACGGCCATCGGTGAAGACTAGGCCTACTCGAGGCACATTGAGGACACGGGGCCGTGCGCCCTGCGCCTCGGAGAAGCTGTGCTCCACCATGTGTCGCAGCGCCAACCCAGTCATGGTGCCGCGCTCCATGTACTCCACCGCCAGGACCGCCTGCTTCACCTCCGCGGCGGTGCCGTAGCGGCCCAGTGGGAACTCGGTGCGCACGCGGCTAGAGAACTGTACCAGCCCGATGCGCGTGCCCTCGGGGGACACATCCAGGAAGTCCACGATCTGATTTACAAAGCGCTTCACCAGCTCGAAGTTCTGCGGGCGCACACTCTTGGAGCCATCCACCAGCAGAACGAGGTCCACGTGGCCTTCCCGGCATCCTGCTCAGCAAGAAGGATTGGATAGAGACGCCAGATCCTTTACTAGCAGTAGACATCTACTCATCTAGTCATTCATTCACAAACATTTCTTGTAGAACTGACGCCATTCACTGAGTCCTTGCTCTGCACGGCAGTATGCTAAATTGACATCTTTATCATCATATCTACTTGATAGCCCTCAACATTTATTGAGTGCTTAGCACAAACCACTCTGCCAAAAGTATCTCTTCTTAAGTAACCTCAATAGCCAACAGCGACAATAACCACTATAGTTATCATTTAACGATCACCTACTATGTATCAGATACAATTCTAGGCATTGTACCAGTATCAATAATAACGTTAACAAAAACATTTACTGATAGTTTGCCAGGTGTCAGGCTCTGGGCCAGGTGCTGCATAATTTTCTCAATACTCCCAGTAACCATGAATATGATCCCCAATTTCTATAAGTTGAGCTTCGGAAAGCTAAAATGATTTATCTCAGATTCCACAGTTAATAGTGCCTGAGCCAGGACTTGAAATCAAAGTCCCAAAACCCCTGCTGCTAATCACCCTCTTCTGAACCAGGGACTTCGGTTGGTCCTGATCCATGAGGAAATTATCCATGATGCACGATCCACGAGGTAATCAGGATAGGGCAGAATAAATCAGACATACCATTTGCTACAGATAAAAATAGCCCTAGGTGAGCGGCATGAAGGGAGCCCAAGGTAACAGTTCATTCTTCCTGGAGTTGTTGAGGAAGGCTGCATGGAGATGATGACTCTTTATGTGGTCTTTTTTCGTTCTGCTATTTATAGTTTTACTGCATTGTCATCAGACAGGATTATTATTATTTTTGTTGGTTTATTTTTGTTTTTTTCTGGTACTGGGAATCGAACTTACGACCTTGCACTTGCCAGGCAGGTGCTGTGCCGCTGAGCTAAATCCCCAGCCCCATGTGGTCTTTTTTTGGACTGAGTGACTGTAGCCTAGCTCCCAAAATTCATATGCTGAACCCTGTCTTCCAATGTGATGGTCTTAGGAGGGAGGATCTCTGAGAGGTCAGCAGGATTAGCTGACGTTAAGAAGGTGGAGCCCTCAGGAATGGCATTAGTGTCTTTAGAAGAAACCCAAAGACCTTGATTTCTCCCTGCCTGTGAGGGCAAAATGAGAAGACTGTGGGGCAAAGGCAGGGCCTCACTAGACATAGTATCTGCCAGCACACCACTCTTGGACGTCCTGCTGTCCAGAACTCTGAGAAGTAAATTTTGTTCAAGCCACTGCCAAGGCTTGGGTGTGATTTCTTTCCCAAAGTTTATGTTCTAGAACTGCCGGCTCCAGGGCTGGGGATTTAGCTCAGCGGCATAGCGCCTGCCTGGCAAGTGCAAGGTCATGAGTTCGATTCCCGGTACCAGAAAAAAAAAACAAAAAAGAAAAAGAAGTGTGGGCCTCAATGTAACAGTACTGAAAGGTACTGCAACCCTTAAGAAGTGGGGCTTAGGGGGAAGTAATTAGGTCATGGGGGTACCACACTAGGAAGAGACTCATGCCCACCTCAAGGGAGTGAATTTGGTCTCAAGGGACTGAATTAGTTACCGTGACAGTGGGCAGTTATAACATAAGGCAACTCCATGTGTTTGGTCTCTTCCAAGCACCTTCTCACCACTCTTGCATATGCTCCTGCTACATTATGGCATCAGCAATGAGTCCCTCATCAGAAACCAAGAAGATGCCAATGCCATATTCTCTAGCCTCCAGAACTATGACCCAAATAAACCTCTTTTCTTTATAAAATATCCAGCCTTGGGTATTTTGTTATAGCAACACAAAACAGAAAAAGATAGCCAATCAGTCTGTAGTACTTTGTCATAGGAGTCTGAATGGACTAAAACCATCTGAACAGGTAATGAGGAGTTTGTGAAGGCAGAGGGAGACATTCCAGAAAGTGGAAGCAGCATGTGCAAAGGCATGGGACAGAACTCTGCCCTGGCAAGCTCTCAGGAAGTGGCCAGTATGCTGAAAATGTTCAAGTGTGGCAAGAGAGAGGCTGATAAATTGGCTGAAGCTAAGGTGGTAGTTTTAAAAATTGTGATGAGCTAAGGTGGTAGTTTTAAAATTTTGACCACAACCCAAAGTTAAAAAAAAATGATAATAATAATAATAATACATGATGATGCACTTCATATGCTCACATATAACTAAATGAGCTTTGTGAAACAATACTTACTCTTTCTACAGGCAGGAAACTATTTTCTCTTCCATTCTTTTTTTTTAAATGCTGGTTGTTACCCAGTAATTTGAGTTCATTATCCACTAATGTGGTGGGGCCCATACATGAAAAACTCATGGGTAAGGCATTTGATCCCTATTCTGGAGTCACTGGTGTGCCACAGAAGGATTTTGAGCATTGGAAGAATGTGATCAACTATGGATTTTTAAATTAACCCTGGGGAGAGGATTAGCAAGATAGAGGGCTGAGGAGAAAGCAATAGAGGCAGGGCACAGCACATCCTCCAACAGGCTGCCCCAACACACACATATTCACACCACATCCTTAGGTTACAGCAAGGCCAAAGCAAGGATGATCAGAATATGGGTAATGGGGCAAGAACAGATGGAATACCCCCCACCATAACTCACGGTTGCAGCTCTTGCCGTCTGCCTGAAGTTGCCGACCCTCAGGGCACAAGCAGCGGTAGGAGAGGCCCTCGCTCACACACTGGAACTCACAGCCGTGGTCTACACCATTGCACAGGTCCTTAACTTAAAGGAGAGACAGAGCAGGATAAGTCAGGGTGGAACTCACCAGCCTGAGTTCCTACCCCTCCTCACAAGAGATTCGTGCCCACCTCAAGAGCACCCCTCTTTGCCCTGACAGCTCTTCCCATCAGGCGGTAGGTCATAGCCCTCCCTGCAAGGGCACTGTGGCCCCGCAAGGGTACTAACACATTCATGCTGGCAGCTGATTCCTGAAGCTGCACTGATCAATGACTGGTGGAAGAAAAAAAAAAAAAAAAAGAAAGACATTGCTTCTGATGGGGCCATCCGAGGCCTCAGGCCAGGACTCTGGGGGGAGTAAAGGAGTGGAGAGGTTGTGAACTCACCCCTGCAGCTCCTCTGGTCTTGCTGCAGTACATATCCAAGTCGGCAACGACAGAAATAGGAGCCCGGGGAGTTGACACAGTGGTGCTCACAGCCATGGGCCCCTTCAGCACACAGGTCAATGGCTGAGAAGAGACAAGGTCAGCCTTTGCCCAAAGCTGCACTTCTCAGCCCCGGCAGCGTGAGTACCCGAGCAGCTTTTTAAGAACTCCTCTGCTGGGTCCCAACTGCAAAGATCCTGATTAATTAGCCTGAGGTGGTACCCAGGCAGCTGTAATTTCTATATTTATAAGCCTCCCTCCTATGGGGCCAGCTAACCCTCCCAACTCACACCCTAGACACATTCCAGGGCCAGCATGCCCTTTACTGAGCCAGGCATAAGATAATAATCCACAGTTGTAGAAGACCGGGAAAGATGAGGCATGGTCACCTCACCTGTCTCAGCCTGTCCATTTCCCCATCAGCAAAATGGGAATATAATGGAAGTGAGCAACTACTATTTACAGCTTCCTTCTGAGAAAGGAAGGCTCTTGCCTGAGTTTGGATGTGCGAATATGGCCTAGAGCTAAGCTGGAAAATAGGGACTGGAGAGATGAGGCTTGCCATGTAGGAAAAAAAAGAATTTGGGATTCCTGGAAAATAGGAGTGGAGAGAAGACAATGAGAGCGTGACAGATGGTGTGAAAGATGAGTAAGTCTGGGGTTGAGGCTGCCAGCATCGGGGACTGACTGAGCGCTTAGAGGAACAAAAGTGTCTAATATGCAATAATAAGTAATGCTTCTTTCTTTTTCCATGATATTTTTGACTTTAACTCACACCTCTGTCCACTCCCATCTTTAGTAGAATGAACATACACACATGCACACCCTTGCATGCACATAAGTGTGAACCAAAGAATAAGTTGATTTATACACCTGGAATAGCTGGGCATGGTGGCACACACCTATAATCCCAGCACTCAGGAGGCTGAGGCAGGAGGATCGCTCTGAGTTCAAGGCCACCTTGGGTTACATAGTAAGTTCAAGGCCAGCCTGAACTGCATAGCAAGACCCTATCTCAAAAAAAAAAAAAAATCTGGAATAAGAACAGCATGTATACAGGGTTGAAAAATTGAACAAGGATCCATAACTTGAATAACTGCAGCAGAAGGTAAGCCTTTAGGGAATTCCTGGAAATCTTGCAATGGAATTTGCATATTCATGATAATCAAATAAGAATCCAAGTCAATCATAAGTTTCTAATGACAAGTTGACCCCAGGTGTCACCTGGTTGATCATACAATATCTTTTTCCAGGTTGTTGTGAAGCTGAGGAGCAGTGCATGGAATCTCCTAGCACCTGATAACCTGATATACCTGATAACCAACCTGATAACCATGATATACCTGATAACCAACCTGGTACTCAGTAAATGGTGGCAATTACGACCACAGAAGTAAATATACATGTGCTCACAAAACAGTGCAAAAGCAAGGCACCATACCCATAGCTTGATGACAAAGACGAACACAAAAGGGAAGAACCAGGTCTTGAAGCATTTGCAGGGGCAGACGGAAGCAGCAAGGAATGAGCAGTATGTCAGGGGCGACAGGCCTAACTGACGATCCCTAGCAGCAGTGTCTAAGTAATAAAAACTGGAAGACTATTCCTGGGAGACAGAAACAAGTCTGGGAAGTCAACTGGACCAGGTAGGAGACTGGGCTTACAGGGAGTAGAAAAAGCTACAGAAAGCACACTTAACTGGGGCAGGGGGATGCCAAGATTCCCGGCCCTGGTCCCACAAAGGACCTCCTCTGTCTTAAACCTATAAACTAAAAAAGAGGGCTTTTACTTGGAAAGACCCTCCCAAACTCATTGCCAGAGCCAAAGTAGGTTCAGGAGCCGTGAGACTGCAGGGCAGGGGCAGCTCTTACCCAAACACCTCTTCTTATCTGCCGCTAGTTTGTAGCCAGAGTTGCAGGCACAGTAGAATGTTCCCGGAGCATTGACACACTGGTGCTGGCAACCATGTCCCCACTCTGCACACAGGTCCTTCCCTGGGGACACACAGCGCGAGAATGAGCTGGGGACAGATGGGCAGAAGTCTCTGACACGACACAGCTGAACAGGGATGGGTCAGGGGCAGGCACCACCCTCAAGTATGGCCCTAGGTGAGACAGGACTGGGAGGGGGTCAGTCCCTGTGGCGCCGGCTTGGGGTAAAAATGGAGATAGACCCAGAAGACGGGACATGGGACTAAATGTGCCCATGCATAGGGCAAGACCATACAAAGCCAGGGACAGTGCAGGGAGTGGGGAAGTGTAAACTAAGGTGGTCCAAATAGCACAAAATGTGACTAGCACAGATCTTGCAGGGTTGGGAGAAGAGCTACAGTGAGGAGGAGCAGCCACGCCCCTGTGGGCGGGGCGTGACTTCCAAAGGCGACCGCTCTGAGCTTTGAGGAAGGGTGATCTAGCTTTGAAGGTATGTGTTATTTGAGTTAGACACTAATCCTGTGATAAATCACAACCCTTCGTCCTGTTGGGTGGGACAAGAAAAATGTCACTCTTTGTGGACAAGCCTAAGAAAAGGTGTCCACAGCATACGTTTGATCGAACCCCTCAACTCTACCTGGTGGGCAGAGTAAGGCCGGACCGTGCCAAGAGGGGAATCCACCCAGCTGGAGAGCTGAAGCCGCATTGCAGCGTTCCTTTCACTCACCGCACAATCGCCCCTGGAACTGCAGGCCAAACTCCTGGATACGGTCAAAGGATTCAACGAGGAAGACATGCTCGTCCAGTGGGGGTGACGCCATGGCCCGCAGGGAGCCCACGTCCGCTCGCTGCACGCCGACCGCGTAAATTTCAATGCCGCGGGCGCGCGCTTGAGCCGCCACCTCGGCCACGCGGTCTTGGGGCCGCCCGTCCGTCACGATGACGGCGACGCGTGGCACGCGCTCCTCCGGCGCGCGCGCGCCCTCGGCCTCGCTGAAGGCCACGTTCATGGCGTACTGGATCGCCAGGCCCGTCATGGTGCCCTGCGCTAGCGGGACCAGGTCGCGGATGGCGCGCTCCATGTCCTCACGCCGCGAGAAGGCCCGGAGCGGGAAGACGCTCTGCACTTGGCTCGAGTACTGGATCACGCCGACGCGCGTGGCGTTGCGCCCCACGTCCAGGCTGCGGAGGAGGCCCACCAGGAACTGCCGCATGGTCTCGAACTCAAAGGGGCGCACGCTGCGGGAGCTGTCAATCACGAACACCAAATCCATGGGCCCAGTATGGCACCTGGGTCCTGTGGGATACATCACGGAGGATATTCTTAGGTCCACAAAGCCTTACCTACCAGGAAAAAAACACCTCCTGGCCTGAGAAACTCGAGAAATGCGGCTATCCCTACAGAGCAGCGCCGCCTAGGTGACCTAACAAACACAAGTTAGACACCCACCCTCACTTGCTGAGAACGCGGGCGAGGCCTTCTCACAAATTCTCAAGGCACAGCTCTGAGAGGTGTTGGAGGGAGGTGTTATCTATTAAGGATGCGCCGAGGAGGAAACATCCCAAGTACAGATCGCAATAGGATAGGGGCCAGGCAGGCAAAATAAATGAATGCCGTGCTTGGGTTAGGACTGTGGGCTCTGAAAGAGCCTGTGTCCCTCCTGCTTCGGGCAGCTCCCGTAAAATGTTACCATGTGGCCGCGCGGGCTGGAAGTTAGCAGTCCTTGAAGTTTTCAAGAAAAGTTCCAAATCGGGATTTTTATGTGGAATTTGATATTTCCATGTCTTCGATTTAAAAATCCGAAATGAAACACTGCATGTATAGTTCTGCATGAACCCAAAGCTAAGCCACATCCTACAGGTGAGGAGGCTGAGGCCCACAGAAGCGGGAGAGCCTCATAGGTTCCAAAACCCTTGTTTTTCTCTCCCCTGCAGGTCGGGCCTGGCTGCTTCCGCTCCCCTCCTCCCGCTGGTGAGGGCCGGGCCGAAGCTCACCTGCAGACTGGAGCTGGGTTTCCCAGGGCTGGAGAAGGAGTAGCAGCGTAGCCAGTGGCCAGCTGAGAAGGCCTCTCATGGTGTTTGAGGGACGGAGAATGTAAATGTCAGGACCTGCAAGGAGGAGGGAAATTAGTAAAGCATATGGCTCTTATTCTGGAAGATGGGCACTTGGAGGGGAGAGGGTCACGGGGTTTCTCTTACTAATCTATTTTTGTGTGTCTAAAGTGTTTCACACTGGGACGTTTCGCGGAAACGTCATCACAGTGAGACTGCTGGGAAACGCAAGAGATTCTCTGTAGAACCGCAGGACTTTGTTGAACTGCAAAATATATATATAAACAAAGAGTAGATAAGATACAGCGCCCGGGGACAGGGCTAAATGCTTTGCATGCATGATGGCATTTAATCCTTGTCAATTCTGACACTAAGGCTGGAGTCCCCATTGCACAGATGAGGAAACTGAGGCTTAGAGAAGTGAAGCATGCAACTTACGCCTCTCTGGCTCTGGGACCCAGCCAGAGTGCTCTGTGCTGTCTGCTCCCAGGAGGCGAGTGTCTGTAGACAGAAGCCAGCCTCCACCTCTGCCCCTCCCCACTGCACGCAGGAGCTCCTGTGCCACTGTGTGTGCAGCCCTCAACCCAAGCCCTATACTCAGGCATGCACCGTCCAATCGAAGGTGGCGAAGAAAGGCTGCGTCTTTTCACCAACCAAGTGTAGACTGTGGGGCAGTGAGTGGTGCTAAAATTCACCACGTGCAAGAACTCCTGACTCGGTGCCTCGGTTCTTCTCTGGCTCTCAGGAGAGGCCGCCAGGGGGCGCCCCGCTGGATGTGGCTGCCACCGCGATGTACTCTGGGAAGTCCACACCTGCTCAGCAGGTGCCGGTGTCCAGAACAAACAGGGGGCCGGGAGCCCCGAGGCCTTGGAGATAAGGCCTGCCCGGGATATATCCTGTGTGCACATCGGGTGCAGAGGTGCGCAGGGCTCCAGGGACGGTGGCATTGGACGTACCCAGAGGGCAGCAAGAGAGAGTCCAGGGCCTCACAGAGCGGCCATGGACCCTGCGGGGGCAGCAGGTGAGCTTCACCCTCCTGCAGCCCCTGACGATGTCCCTTAAGTATGACAGGAGGTCCCCCAGTGTATGGATGGGAAAATGAAGGTCCCAAAAGGCGGCCCACTGGAATGTGGGACTCCTAGGTCCCCTCCTCCCCTCTTAGCTGCCTGGCTCCCTGGTCCCTACGAGGACTCACTAAGCCTCGTTTCCTTCCGTTGCCCACCCTACCCCCGGGCCCTGGGCTGAGGCTGCATTGGCCATTTTTCTGTTGCCATTTCTTGGCAGAGAGAGAGAGGCAGCCGCCCCTAACCCACCGCAGCCCTGCCCTGCCCCCCAATTCCGTGAATGAGCCTATTCTGAGCAAGGCCCGTGCCTGCCGCTCGCCCCAGGCAGGCTTCCTGTCCAGGATTCTTCTCCCCCTTCACTTTCCACCCTGGGAGAGGAACAAAAATCCCTCTGGCAGGGCCTGTCGTGGGAGGGTGACTAAGCCAGATGTGCCAGCTGCTGGTGGAGATGGACAGGCACCAAAGGCCTTCTCTACCTTGGGCCACAGCCTGGGCCCGCACCCTGGGGTAGCATATGGATTAAAGGTGCAAGGGGCCTTTTGCCACTCCTTGTCCCTTCCTACTGGCAAAAGCCCCTGGGCCCCCTAATCTTGATTAAGGTCCCCCCTATCCTGCTCTTGGTTCCCTGCTCCATCCTGGGAATCCTAGAAAGTTCATAGGTGAACGTCGCCACCCTCCCATCCCCTTCAGTTTGCAGAAGGAGTCAGGTCCAGAGAGGGGAATGGTCTTCACTCAAGAGAGAAGGGGTGGCCCGGGCTAACGAGAGGCCAGGACTCTATGGACTCTACCGAAGTTAATCTTTGGGTTAAAGACAAAAGTTCGAAGATGCCCTTCGGGTCGGCAAAGGGGACTGAAAGGGGGGCGGGAAGTCTGTGAGTAATTATTTGGGAGTTGGCCCAAGAATGAACACCTTGGGAATGTGCCTGGGCCTGGAAGGAGGTTAGGGACAGAGCCCCTGTTTTCGTCAGCCTTACTGGTGGGGGTTCAATTTGGAAAGGACCCCACAGAAGAGGAAAAGGGCACTGCCAGTCAGCTGCGATCATCAGAGGCGTTGCTTCTGCGGTAAATAGATCTCCAGTGGGGTTTGTGGTTTGCTGTAGATTCCTCAGCGCCCCCGGGCCCTTTGACTCACCTGAGCCTGCAGGACAGCTCGGAGGTGCGGCTGCAGAGCGGAGCTGACGTGGGGAGCCTCCCGGGCAGTTGGACCAGGTAACGGCGTGGGCAGTGTGCCCTAGGTGGGGACTGCCAGGCAGCTGGAGCGAGCAGAGGCGGCGGCTGCATTTAACCCAGGGCTGGCGGTGGGGAGGGGGAGCGCGGGCCGCGACCCCTCCCACTGGCGGGAGCGATTCCCTCTTCTTCCGAGGACTGGGGCGGAGCAAGCGTGGCGACCCCCGCTCCTGCCACCCTTAGAGCTGCAGACCACGAGCTGCGCGGACCGGAATCCTGCTACAGCGGGAGAAGGGCGGCGATACTGCCCCTGAGGGGAGCCCCAAGAGGCGGGGCGGTCCTGTTCTGGCCGCCCACAGGGTCTGGCGGGTTTTGGAGGGCGCGCCTGACTTTTACCCTCCGATGTCCCATCCAGGAGGGAAGAGAGGCTGGGACTCAGGTTCTGCCAAGAGTGTACAGAGCTTAAAAGGACACGGGGGTGGGGGAGAATCATAGCTTTCCTCAAGCCCCAACCTGCTAATTCCACAACTGTGCTACAAGTCCTCCTTTACACAGTCTCTGAAACTGTGCAGGCTTTGGGTGCACCCTGTTTTACCCATCAAAACCCTCAAACTGAGAAGTCATCAGATCTAGAGACCCTGACCTGGCTCCCCCTTTGGGGTTAATGTAGTGAGCCGGATCCGCTGTAATCGAAGAAAGCCCACCGTTGGCCTGGCATGGTAGCATACACCTGTAATCTCAGCATTCAGGAAGCTGAGGCAGGAGGCTGCCTGGGCTACATAGTGGGTTCAGAGCCAGCAAGAAGTGCATAGCAAGACCCTATCTAAAAAAAAGAAGAGAAAAGAAAAGAAAAAGAACAAAAGAAAACCCACCCAGCAACAGGCCCCTTCTCCTGGGAGAAAGGGAGGAGTGCTGCTTTGGCTCTGGAAGGACTCAGATGTTCTGGGATGTGACTTCAGGATCCTTTATGTTTGCAGGCCTCTGCCCACAGGGGGTGAGAGCCCGAGGCCTGCATCCAGAGAAGGCTGGGTCCCCTTGGCATTCCCCTAAAATGGGGGAGTTTAACTACCAATTCCACATACCCTATCTCTCTATCCCAGGCCAACACAGGTGCAGCCTTTGTATCACCGCTGTATCTCCCTGCTGCCCAGACTGCATGGGCAGAGAGCCAGACCCAGAGCGTGGTCCTGGTGGGCTCTGCACAGGCGTCACTGAACACCTAAAGCCCAAATATTTAGTCCTCTCCTTTGCCTAGCACTTCTTTCCCCTCCACCCTGGGGGAGGCAGAATGTAGAGCCGCCCCTTCCTCTGTTTCATTTCACTCAATCTGAGCCCAGGGCTCTCTGCGACCTCAACCCTTGCCTCACCCTGCTGCTGCCCTGCCCGTGCCCAGCTCATCCCCAGAGCGCACCGCCGTACTGAGGGACGGAGTGCGAAGCTGCCTGCAGCACGGGTGCGAGCAGACTGTGAGGATCCTGCACGCCAAGGTGGCCCAGAAATCCTATGGAAATGAGAAACGGTAGGTGCCCCAGCACTGCCTCCCAGGTCTCTCCTGCCTTCAGCCCCATGTGTCCATCTGCCCTCCTCTTTGGAGGCCTTAGAACTGAGACCTCAGCTATTGGCTGACCAGGCAGGGGACCTGCCCCTCAGCCAACACCAGCCCCCACTTTGGTCTTTTGCAGCGCTCCCTATGGTTCTCTCATCACTGTTCACTACCCCAGCCATTATTCATTCAGCTATTTACCGGGTGCTTATCAGGTGTCAGGCTCTGTGGTCACTGCTGGGCGCTGCTGGGACATACAGACTGACACAGTCCCTGCGCTTCTGGCCTTTTTACTCTAATGTGGATGAGACAGACAGTAAACTCCTCACATATCTGCAAAAGCGATATTTCCAGAGTGTGATGAGGGCTGGAAGGAAAGAGAACAGGGTAATGTGATATAAACCAGAGAGGTGGGGTACTTTAGCTTGACAGGGCAAGGAGGTCAAAGAGCCTTTTAACAAGTGACATCTGAACTGGGAGCTGAGAGCTGAGAATGTAGCTCCGTGGTAAAGCAAATGCTTTGAACTGAGACTTCAATGGCAGATGGAGCCAGACATGAAAAAATCTAGGGCAAGTGTGTCCAACTAGAAAGAACAAAAAATGCAAAGATTCTGACCTGTACCAACGGAGCCTGTTTAGTTGCAAAAGAAGTCAATGTGGCTGGAATTCGAGGAGGATGAACAAGTTGTAAGCTGGAGAGTTGAACATGGGAAGACCTGGGATTTTAAACCACGGGAGGATTTCAAGAAGAGACAAAAACAATTTGACTCGTGTTTTTTTTAAAAAAGCACTCTGGCTGCCGTGTGAAAAACAAGTTAGAAGTGGGTGGAGTAGCGACAAGGAGACCCACTAAAAGGCTGATGCAGTCCTGCAGGGGAAAAGTAATGGTTAGGCCAGGCAGTGGCACAGGTCTGTAATCCCAGCTACGTGGGAGACTGAGGCAGAAGGATCCTGTCTCAAAATAAATAAAAAGGGCTGGAGCTATAGCTCAGTGGTAGAGTGCCGCTAGGTTCAATCCCCAGTAACACACACACACACACACACACACACACACACACACACAAGCAGTTGAGGTGGTTACATAGCTAATGGATTCCAGATATGTTTTGGAGGCGGAGTAGACAGATATACTGATGGGTTAAATGAAAGAAGTGTAAAAAAATGAACGTCTGGATGTTGGCAAGGCGTGATGGCACACACCTGTAATCCCAGCACTTGGGAGGCTGAGGCAGGAGGATCACTGCAAATTCAAGGCCAGCCTGGGCTACAAAGTGAGTACAAGGTCAGCCTGAACTGCATAGTGAAACCCTGTCTCAAAAAGACAAAAAAGAAAATGTTTGGATGTTAATAGAGTTCACAGTCATGAAGATGTCCAGAGGAGAAAGGGAGAAAAATCAAGGGGTGTGTGGACTTTAACCTTGAGAAGGTTACAAGACAGTCAAGTGGCAATGGCTATTTGAACCCAGCCCTCGCATGTCTCCGCAGGTTCTTCTGCCCCCCGCCCTGTGTCTACCTCACCGGTCCCGGATGGAGGGTGAAGCCAGTGCAGGGCCAAGGTGAGGGAGCATTAAGGGCCGCAGGCTGTCGACCTTCTTCTGCAGGCAGGGCCCGGGAGCAGGCAGCGTGACTGGTGGGCTCAGTTTCGCTGCGCCCTCTAGCGGCGCATGCCCACCTTGCTCGTCACTTGAGTCTCGAGTATGCCGCTCCCCTTTCCAGCCCACCAGGCAGGGGAGACCGGGGCCACCGTCTGCGGTTACATGGGGCTGGACGGCGCGTCTGGCAGTGCTGCCGAGACGCAGAAGTTGAATTTCGAGGAGCAGCCGGACTCCAGGGTGAGACAGCATGGGAGGGGGTCGGGTTCCTGCTCCTGTCCCTGCCTCTTCCTTGGAGAGGAGGGCTCCTTAGTCTCCCTGGAAGTCAGGAGACAGCGTGGAGGCCGGGAGGCCAGGGTCTGCCTTGAGGGTCTGCCCCAGAACCAGGCTCGTGGAGTTCTCTTCCCTCCGATGGGGCGGTCCTTGAGGAGGTTGAGTCACCTGCTGGCTGAGGCCTGGGGTGAGCCGGCCGCATCCCCGCGAGCCCGCTAGGAATTCGGTTGCGCCAAGACCCTGTACATCTCGGACGCCGACAAGAGGAAGCACTTCCGACTGGTGCTCCGCCTCGTGCTGCGAGGGGGCCGGGAGCTGGGCACCTTCCACAGCCGCCTCATCAAGGTCATCTCGAAGCCCTCGCAGAAAAAGCAGTCGCTGAAAAACACCGACCGTGAGCTGGGCCGGGCGCTGCGGAGAAGCCCCTGCGGGAGCCTAGGGGCGGGGTCGGAGAGAGGGGCGGAGTCTGAGCCGAGAGCCAGGCGGGTTTGAGTGGGCGCGGCTGGACCCCAGAGAGGGGAGCGAAAGCCGGGAAGGGGGACGTGGAGACTGGATGGGGGGGTATGGGGGGGAAACTAAAAACTATAAAGGGGCAAGGCGTGAGAATGAGCCTTAGTGGTAAAGCAAGTTCTTAGCAGGTGTGGGTCCCTGCGTTCAGTCCCCAGTTCCAGGAACCGTAAAGAGGCTGAGGGAATCCAGCTTAAAATATATATGGAGTTCTTGTTGTATGCCTGGCTCTGTGCCAGAGGCTGGATCGCTATAAAGTAAGAGCAGGACCTAGGATGTAGCTCAGTGGTAGAGCACTTGCCTGAGCATGCGTAAAGCCCTGGATTTACCACTCTAATAATAATAACAATAGTAATAATAATAATGCCTGTATCCCAACACTCAGGAGGCTGAGGCAGGAGGATTGCCACGAGTTTGAGCCAGCCTGGGCTACATAGTGAATTCAAGGCCAGCCTGAACTACATAGCAAGACCGTATCTCAAAAATAAATAAATAAATAAATAAATAATAGCAGATGTCTGCTCTAGAGCAAGTTATAGCCTATCAGGGAAGACGTACACTGCAGATCAAAGAGCTTATTTGAGATAGGTATTGTTCTAGATGTCAGGTGGACAGTCCTTGTAGAGGAGGGCTCAGTAACAATGACAACACCACCAGTCCCTCACTGGGAGGTAAGGGGACAGGGTGGGAAGGGACTTTCTTGGGGATCAGTCCCTGCGAGGTAGGTACTATCATTGTCCCTATGTGGTAGACAGGGGAAATGAGGTTTTAAATACTCATGCATGTAAGAAACAGTTGGACCTATCACATTCCAGGTGACTTGCCCAAGATCACCCACCTAGGATGTGGCCACGCCAGGAAATGACCTTGAGTCAGTGTGACTCCAGAGCCCAGGCCCTACTGTATACCACACTTTATTTACTTTTTGAGACAGGGTCTTGCTGTGTAGTTCACACTGGCCTCAAACTCACAGCGATCCTCTTGCCTCAGGCTCTTGAGTGCTGGAATTACAGGCCTGCGCTACCTCGCCCGGCCACACTTCGTTAAAAAAAAAAAACCTGTGGACTGTCCCAGATCCAAAGAGTGTTAGGGCTGGCCCTTGATATCCGGGAAGGGCTAGGCAGAAGTAGTGGAATAGTGTGATGGTTGGGTGCATATTTTGGAGCCCAGCGGCCTGAGTTTGAATCATGCTCTACAACTTGGTAGCTGTGTGAACTTTGGAAGGTTGCTTTTTTTCCCTAGTACTGGAAATTGAACCTGGGACTTTTCACTGAGCTACATCTCCATCCCTTTTTATTTTTTATTGTAAGACAAAAATAAATGTGTTGCTAAGTCACTAAAATAAAAGTATTGCTAAGTCACTAAGTTGCCCAGTCTGGGCTCGAACATGCAAGTCTCCTGCCTCAGGCTCCCACAGTCCTGGGGTTACAAGTGTGCACTACCATGCCTGGCTCAAGTTGCTCTGTTAAGTGGAGATAATATCATCTACCTTATAGGGCTATTGGGAGAATTAAAGGAACAAATACACATAAAGCATTTAGAAAAGTACCTGGCACACAGTAAGTGCTAGCTGTTACGCAGGGGAGGGGAACTTTGAGTAAGTATAAATGAGCACCTACAGTGTGTCCAGCTCTGAGAGAAGACAGGACACTGGCCCACCCATTGCCTTCTCCCTAGGTGGCCAAAGTGCAATGAGAAAGTAAAGCAGTGGCCTTGAGTATATGACATTTGGGGCCAGAAGAGATAAATGATAAGTTCCTAAAATAGTGCACTGCTGTTTCACGCCACATGGTCTTTGCAGGAGCATCCCCTGAACAACTCCTACCTGCTTCACGATCCCCCTCTGAGAGTGTAACTCCTTCCAAGAAGGACACCTTACCTCAGTTCTCACCACATCACATTAGCATTTTAGATTTATGTACTTGAAACTGCAGTCTCTTCCAGAGCAAAAGTGAGCCTAACTCACACTTTGGTACCCAGTGCCCAGTACCATGCCTGCCCCAAAGTAGCTCAGGCAGCATAAAGTAGCAGACAAGGCACAGATACAGGACAAAGCAGCACTGGATAAATAGCTGTGAGATACAGCCATTCAGCTTGTCCATATAAACCAGACTGGTACACGACACAGAGGACGAGAGATTGTCTGGGAGCCCCAAAGTTCCGAGCCAGGGCACTGATTCCACCTCCTCTCACAGTGTGCATATCGTCCGGCTCAAAGGTCTCCCTCTTCAACCGCCTGCGCTCCCAGACGGTGTCCACACGCTACCTCTCTGTGGAGGACGGGGCCTTCGTGGCCAGTGCGAGACAGTGGGCTGCCTTCACGCTCCACCTCGGTAATGACCCCAGCAGGCACGGCGGGGCACTCCACATGTGCTAGCTTGCTTACTCCTCTTCCCAGCTCCTCAAAACGATCAACTCATCCCTACAGCTGAGCTCAAAAACAGCCACAATCCCAGTGAGAAAGTGACTGACCCACCATTCTGATCCAGCGTCACTGCGCTTCCCCCTCATACTGACTAAGTGCCTACCCCAGGAGGCAGACATCTGCGAGCATGGTCACAAACAACCCCCGCCCCCATTAGAAGCCCTAGCTGCTTCCCCGAGGGCTGGCCTTTCCCACAAGGCCTAGTCATGGTGTGAGGTGGAGCCAAAGGTAGGAAGGCAGGGTTCAGGGCAGAAGAGGGGGCTCCTGAGACCTTCATCTCTGTCTTTCTTTCACCCCAGCTGATGAACACTGTTCCCAAGGGGACTTCCCACCTCGAGAGGGCTACGTCCGATATGGCTCCCTGGTGCAGCTCGTCTGCACAGTCACTGGCATCACACTACCTCCTATGGTATGAGTGGGATGGCACACCTGCAGGGGGCCCCCCAGATCCATGCGGAGGGTGTGACCTATGTGTATGGGGCTGGAAGGTGAGGCCCTAAAGCCTGAAGACAGCTGTTCTCACTCTGGGGCTAGTTGGCACTTTCTAGGAATCTTCTGTGCCCACGTGGTTGTTGAAGTAGCCGAGACTGGGAAGGCAGCTTCTGGGCACCCAGGCACCCTGGCCCCACACCTCCCACCACTCTTCTGTTGCAGATCATCCGCAAAGTAGCCAAACAGTGTGCACTCCTCGACGTGGACGAGCCTATCTCCCAATTGCACAAGTGCGCCTTCCAGTTCCCAGGTGGCCCTCCAGGAGGGGGTGGCACCTATTTATGCCTTGCCACAGAGAAGGTGGTGCAGTTCCAGGTGAGCAGGGTACACCAGCGCCAAGCGTCCCAGAAAGGGAGACAGTAGATAGCCGTAGACTGTAAGACCATTGTCATGATGATTGCTGCTTTCTGAGTAACACCGCCTACTGTGAAAGGTCAGAATCGTGGACTATTGGGACAGAACCGTAGAATGTAGAAAATAGTAAGTGTTATTATTAAGCAATATTCATCTCCCCGCAAAAATTCATCCCCAAAGAAGATTGGATTCATTGGCTGTTGGGATATAAAATTGTAGCATGCAAATAAAAATTAGAATGGGTAATAGTATTGAGTATTGTTGAAAAAAGACTATTAGAATGATAGAATATTGAGGCATAAAATTGTAAAGTGTGGAAAATCAAAATTATTATTAATCAATCTGTCTGTCAAAAGAATACTATTGAGAATGTGAGGCAACAGAATCATAAAATGTAGAAAACAATTATTATTATTACCATTGAGCAATGCTCCTTCTCAAGGAATACTAAAGTTGTAGAATGGTAGGGCAAAGAATTGCACAATTTTAGAAAATAAAATTCTAGAAACGCAAGAAAATAAGGCCATTAGAAACCACGTGGGGAACCGGGCGTGGTGGTGCATGCCTGTAATCCCAGCACTCCGGAGGCTGAGGCAGGAGGATTGTTGCGAGTTCGAGACCAGCCTGAGCTATAAAGTGAGCTCAAGGCCCGCCTGAACTACATAGCGAGACCTTGTCTCAAAAAGACAAAAAAAAAAAAAATTAGAAAGCACATGGGGGCGAGGGATATTGCTCAGCAGCACAGCACCTGCCTGGCAAGCCGCAAGGTTCTGAGTTCTATTCCCGATACCAAAAAGAAAAAAAAAAAAAAAAAAAAAAAAAAAAAAAAAAAAAAGAAATCACATGGGCTGGGGCAGGGGCATACCTTGTAATTCCAACTACTCAGGAGGCTGAGTTGAAGTCCAGCTTGGGTAACGGAGTGAGACCTTGCGGAAAGGGCCGGGGGTACACTTCAGGGGGCGGTCTTGTATTTAGTCACCAGCACCCAGGGGGGAAAAAGAAAGAGAAAAAGAGGAGAGGGGAGGGGGAGGGAAAAGAAAGACCAAGCAAGCAGCAGGTGCAGTGAGCTTATTCGACTCTCGGTGAAGGAACTTAAGAGTCTGGGCCAAGTTCTGTCGCAGAGAAACCGCAGAGCAGGACCGAAATCCATTCCCGCCTGATGGGGAAGCCCGGCACTCTGCAGCTCCCTTACACCATCGAAGCCTCTGCTCCACCCTCGGGTCCCCCCTTCCAGGCCTCTCCCTGCCCCAAGGAGGCGAACAAGGCGCTGCTCAATGACAGCTCCTGCTGGACCATCATCGGCACCGAGTCCGTGGAGTTCTCCTTCAGCACCAGTCTGGCGTGCACGCGGGAGCCGGTCACGCCGGTGCCCCTCATCTGCACCCTGGAGGTGAACCGGGCGCTGGCGGGCGGGGAGCCGCCGCTGAGCGTGGGGGTGGGGTGCCGGCGAGGGAGGGCCGCCTGCTGGCTCCTGGTCCCCCTTCCCCACCCACCCGGTCCCACCCTCCCCCAGCTGAGCGGCGGGGGCGACGTGGCAACGCTGGAGCTGCACGGGGAGAACTTCCACGCGGGGCTCAAGGTGTGGTTCGGGGACGTGGAGGCAGAGACCATGTACAGGTGCGGCGTGCGGGAGGCAATCTGAGGTTCCCGGGAGCAGGGGACGAGACGCGAGCGTCACCGCAGCTCTAACCTCCGTGCCCCTGCCCAGGAGCCCGCGGTCCCTGGTGTGCGTGGTGCCCGACGTGGCGGCCTTCGGCAGCGACTGGCGCTGGCTGCGCGCTCCCATCACGGTGCCGGTGAGCCTGGTGCGCGCCGACGGGCTCTTCTACCCCAGCGCCTTCTCCTTCACCTACACGCCGGAATACAGCGCCAGGCCGGGTCCGCCCAGCGCCCCGAAGCCCGCGGGTGATGCGGACGCGCTCCTAGAGAGCATCCACCACGAGTTCACACGCACCAACTTCCACCTCTTCATCCAGACCTAGGAGCTGGTGGTGCGGCCGGGCGGGGCGGGGCGGGGGCGGGGCTTCACTGGGCCGCCCCGCCCCTCCTTTATAAAGGGGAAAAGGCAGCTCCTCCTAGAAACCTCGTCTTACATTGGGCTTACGAAGACACAACTTTTTTTTTTTTTTGGTTTTTCTCCGGTACCGGGAACCGAACTCACGCCCTTGCGCTTGCCAGGCAGGCGCTTTTGCCGCTGAGCTAAATCCCCAGCCCCTGTGTGTGTGGTTCTTGTCCACTTCATCTCACTCTCCTTCAATCCATCATTCGATCACTGACCTATCCCTGCCTTGGTAACTTGGCTGTAGGTCTGTCTATGTGTTTCTGTTCCTCCATCTTTGTCTTTCTAGTTCTCCCTGTCTTTTACACAATAGCGCACACTCCAAGAAGCCAAACCGGGAGTATTTTCCTCCAACGACCTATATCCCCACTTGAAGATAAAGTCCGTAGCCAGGCAGAAGAGAAGGCCTGGAGCATGGCCAGCACACCCTTGAGCACCACAGAGTCCCACCCTGTCCTAGGTCTCACCTGGAACGCTGGACTCCCCTGGACTCCTAGACTCCTGCCCTGGGGCACTAGCTGGAGACCTGTACTCCCAAGGGCTGGAGCTAGCACAGTAACCTTGCCTGGGCCTACCTTGTCAATCCTCTCAGAGGCAACTGGTATCCCTGAGGCCCTGTCCCTGCACCAGAAGCCAACTCTGGTACCTAGCTATCTTACTAGTTGTTTCTCATCCCAAGCAGGAATGCACCCGAAGCCCAGAGACAAACATAGGAGCTCTTCAGAACAAAGATCCTAGGAGAACCCAGGCAGAACTCTTGGGATAACTGGGCAATAATGCGTATTGAAAGAGGGGCTCCTCTGTTTGGAACCAGCACACTGAATCACAATCCATCCCTGCTCAGCCTGCTTACACTGTGCCTACTCTGTGCTTTCCAGGAAAGAAGAAAAGATAATTGGGGCTGGGGACTTAGCTCAGCGGCCCAGTGCCTGCCTGGCAAATGCAACGTCATGAGTTCGATTCCCAGTACGGAAAACAAACAAATGAACAAAAAAAGATAATTAAGCATCAGATAGGCTCCTTGCGTGGTCTATGGGAATCAAGGGCACAGATATCATGGTTTCCAGCCACCTGTACCAGCCCCTGATGGTGGGGCCGGATGGGGGAAAATAGTCTGAAATGTGGGTTTAGGGACCAATCCTCTGAGCCTTTCTTTGACCTCTCAGGAAGAGCTCACTTCCTGTAGAATGCCTTCCCCAGAAGTGGAAAGTCCCATAAGAATTCAGAAGCAGCTAAAAACCAGAACACCACCAGGCCACGTTTCCCAACAGTGCTTGCTCTTTAGACTCTGCATTCTTGGTAGGTTCACTTAAAGCCCAGGGGGCCCATGGTGAACCCTGACTGAGGAATGGTGGGAACACACTGAAGGGGAAACCCCCAAAATGAGTGCCTGCCTCAGGAGGGTTTGTGTCACTGCCCCATAGTGGTGTTGAAACAGGAAGGAAGCTAAGAGAAGTTTCATAGTGCCCCGCACGGTCAGCTGGGTTCAAGGACTGTGCAGTTGTCTTCCTCACTCTTCTTGGGCGTCCCTATAACACTTGATCCCACCTGGCTGCACACCTGGAAGTCTGTGACCCCAAAGCTCCAGCCCTACCCTGTCTCCTGAGCTCTGGCTGCTGGGTCTGTCCCTGGAGATCCTCCTTACTCCTGCCCTATCAGCTCACCTCAAACTCCCTTCTCTCTCCACCCAGCTTAGTGGACCTTCTAGCTCCTTCCCCCACAAGACTGTCACCAAGGCCCAAGGACCCTACCTATCCTTCACACTAAAATACGCTTTTCCTCTCCCTCCACTACTGTGCCTCCTCCAGCCCCAGCTCAGATGTCACCTCCTCCAAAACTGTCCCTAGCCAGGTGTGGTGGTGCATGCCTGTAATCCCAGCATTCGGGAGGCTGAGACAGGAGGATCATTGTGAGTTTGAGACCAGCCTGGGCTACAAAGTGAGCTTAAGACCAGCCTGAACTGAGTGAGACCCTGTCTCAAAAAGACAAAACTGTCCCAGCTACCCCAGGTAGGACCAACTATATAATTTGTGGGGCCTAGTGGAAAATGAAAATATATGACTCCTGCTCAAATAATTTTAAGACAAGAGATGATGGAATCAAGTGCGAAGCCCTTCTCAACACAGGTCAACATCCCTAAAGCTGGCCCTGGTGCCAAGCTTTCATCTTGTATTCCAACATGTTACCTCCTGCCTTAGATCAGGGGGCCTTATGTACACGCCCATTGTCCCCTCTATACTGTGAGCTTCCTGTGGAAAGTAGCTTTTATCTCCGTGGACATGTCCCAGTGTCTTTCACAGAGTCGGTGCTCATTAAATACTATAACTAATTGTATTGCAACTGAATTGCAACTGAATTGGCCAGTAATTTGGATAGTGCATGTGCAAATATAACCACCAGGCGGCACTGTTCCCCCTCTCAAACATTGATTTTTTTTTTTTTTTTAATAGAAGCTGTTGGGGTCCTTAACAATCTGAACTTTTTCCTGTTCTTGGGATTCTTGGGGTTTCATACACATCGTCGTGAATATTGTACTTCCAAGGAATTTCCAAACACTTTTAAAACCTGTTTGTGTATTAAGTTAGTCTTTTGCATATTAGAATCAGCTACCAAGCTGTAAAAATTAGCTATCCAGTCCGTATTACAGAGCAATTGGATTGAAATCTCTGAGGGGGGAGCATCTGTATTGTTGACAAGCTCTCCAATGTGATCCTTGTGAGAAGCCGGGCTTGAGAACAATTGCTCTAGTCCAATTTCCTTTGTATTTGATTGCTTGATTGAGGCAGGGTCTCCCTATGTAGTCCAAGTTGGCCTTGAACTCACTATGTAGCCCAAGTTGGCCTCGAACTCAAGGTGATCCTCCTGCTTCAGCCTCACAAGTGCTGGGATTACAGGTGTGCACCGCCATACCCAGCCTCCTTTCTTATAGATGGGGACACTGAGGCTCCAGGAAAAGAGGACAGGGTCACAGCAGGTTGCTGGCAGAGCCTGTCTTTGACTTGAATTCTGCACACCTAACATGAAGTAGTGAGGATAAGACCTAAAGCTCTGTTCTCAAATCTTCCCATTTACCATCTTGTGCTGCCAGAGAGTGCTGGTAACAAACTGGTGTCCTGGCTTAAGTAAATGACCTTGGGGTTCTTGTTTTCTTTTGTTTGTGTCAAATGAGATGTTCTGTAAAGAGAAACCAGTGATAACTGAGCTGCAGGCAAAATTTCTCAGACATCTTCCTCCCTGGGGAGGATGCAGACTGCTGAGGACATGAACCATGAAGATGACAAGGGAGAGAGGAAGTGGCTTTAAGGGAAGTGAAACCAATGAGACCCCTACAAGGGCTTGGCAAGGGCCATCCTTGAGCACTCACACAAACACACACAAAAGGGTCCCCCAGCCAGGCTTGGCTGCGTTCAGGCTCCTAGGGACAAAGTCAGGGCACTTGTGGTACAATAATGCTTATGGTGGATAAGGCAGTAAACACCTGGCACTGCTGGCTGTTTGCCATGGCACAGGGCGGGGTGGGAGTGAGGCAGAGGAGAAAAGGCAGAGCCTTGTGACCAAGTCCTTAGGCTGTCGCCCCGGTTAAAAGGTACTAGAGTGAGGCTCATCTCACCAAATTCATCCTCCATCCCTTCTGATCTAAAACACTGCGTCCAGCCCTGGCTAGTGTCCCTGTGTGCACCATCAGTACCTGGTCCTGGGGAGGAGTGTCATGGTTTGGGTCTGGGTTTGTCCTGGCTCACATATGCTACATCCACTTAGGTGTTCACACTGAGGATGAAACCCAGGACCTTCCCACTGAGATACATCCACAGCGCTTAGTTTTTATTTTGAGACAGGGTCTCACCAAGGCACTAAGTTGCAGGGCGTGAACTTGGGATCCTCCTGCCTCAAGCTCCCAGGGTGCTGGGATTACACATGTGCACATCCAGCCCGTCGGATGTCTATAGTCCCTTCTTGCACTTCTAACCCATATGTTATTTTCAGAGGGGCCTTCTTAAAGTGAGGGGATGGAGCCTCACGGTGGCCTCTTCGGTAGACAAGGCTGTGTGTGCCAGTCAGGGAACCTCAGGTCACCTCACCTCTCTGTGTCTGTTTCTACTTCTGTGAGTGGGAATAATAGTATTTGCCTCATAAAATGCTACACCGTTAAACATCTATGTGAAGTGCTTTCAACAGCGTCTGGCCTGTAGGAACCACTTTATATGGGCTGGTTGCTACCACGGTCAGTACCCTAGAAGCACTTTTAACAATGATCTGTATACTGTACTCTCCCTCCATTGAACAAACAGGCCAACTGGTGGTTCAGAGGAGGAAGAGTGACTTTTCCATATCAATAAATGACTTTCTTGTATTAGTTTCTGTGTTACATAATGAGTCACCACAAAAGTAGCAGGTTACAACAACACGTATTTACCCCCGTTTCCATGGCTCCCAGCTCGGTATAGCTGTCTGCTCAGTGCCTCCCAAGGCTGCAGTCCAAGTGTAGAATCCTGGAGCCACGGTACCTTGCTTCTCTAAGCACTGACTGGATCAGGCCCACCCAAGATAATCTCCCTTTTTGCTAAAAAAAAAAAAAAAAAAAATGGGGACACTAAATAAATCTGAAAAATCTCTTCACCTTTGTTATCTAATGTAACCTGATTATAAACTTACCGGTATCCTATCATTTATGGGACCTGCCCACACTCAAGGGGAGAGAAATATACACATTGTATACACTTGACAGGGGCTGGAGAGTGTTGGGGACCGTCTCATAATTCTACCTACACCCCAAAGCCATGTACCAAATTACTGGCAGGGAGATATTTGGCTTGCAGGCTCTGTGCTCCCTGTGCAGGAAATGACTCGTACAGGGATCAGGGCCTGTGGCCTCGGAAGATTGGCAGAGCACTTCTAGAAATGGCCCACTATTGTCCCGAATGCACTTCAGCATTCCCCATTCAATTCTCAGAAATAATATTGTATCAGTCAGTTAGCTCTGCAGAGAAAGTAACCCCAGGCAAGTGCTGAGCAGTCACAGGGCCATGGTCACAATCTTTAAAATAGTTTCCAATGAGCCTCGGCTCTTGGTATTCCTCCCTTTGTATAATTGACTCTCACAGTGAATAGGGCTGACTGGTGTGACCAGTAAGGTATAACAGGATCTGGGTGTGGTACAGCACACTTGCAAAATAGCAGCCTGGGAGGCTGAAGCAAGAGGATCTCACGTTCGAGCCCAGAGTGGGCAACTGAGTGAGACTGTCTCAAAGTAAAAAAATTAAAAAGGGTTAGGGATGTAGCTCAGGGTAAAGGCCCCAGATTCAATCCCTGGTACCACCAGAAAAAAAGATTATCATTGATAGGAGAATATGTGACTTCCAAAGCTGTCTTAAAAGGCATTGCAGTTTCCACCTGTTTCTTTTCGATCAATGACTCTGGGAGAAGCCAGCTGATGTGTCACGAGGACACTCGGCCCTTTATAAATCCACGAGGTGCAGAACTGAGGCCGCCTGCCAACAGCCAGCACCAAGATGCAAGACATGCGAGTGCACCATCTTGGAAACAGATCCTCCAGCCCAGTCAGGCTGCAGATGGCTGCAATCCTGGCCAACATCTGGACCTCAACCTTGAGCCCCAGAGCCCTAACCACCCAGTTAAACTGCTCCTGAATTTCTGATCCACAGAAACTATGTGGGAAAATATTTAATGTCACTATAAGCCTTTGAGTTTGGGGATAATTTTGTCCAGCAATACAGATTTCTCAAACTAATACTTTATCCAAAAAATAGAACTGGCAAGGAGGGGGCCATTTATTGGGCACTTAACTGTGTGCCAGGGTCTGACCTTCCTCCCTATGGGTGACAGATCACAAGCTAACAGCTGGTAGAAGATGAAATCTAACACAGATACCTCATCCCATTCTCAGACCAGCCAATACAGACATTTCTGGGACAGTGTCCAGTCCAGTAACCACTAGACACTGTAGCTATGGGGCTTAACTAGTGCAGCTAAGGATTTGAATTTTCATTTTTTAAATTTAAATAGCCACAGTGGTCAGTAGCTACTACGTGGGGCAGTGCCAATCTAACAGATAGATGTGAGGGCCTGGCTCAAGAAAAAGTTTGCGTTACAGACCAGAGACCCAAGCAAGCCTCAATGGACTCAGAAAAAAGAAGTATAGCAGGGCCTCAGGAGAGCTAAGCTAGCACAGGATCTGAGACCTAATTCACTGCCTCAGGGGGCTTTGGCAGCTGAGAAGCCTCCAGTGGAGAGACCCTACACAACATAGCACTGATAAGCAGGTAGTTCTGAGCAGACTCCAGAGTCTGATTATCCACGTCTAAATCTTACCTCTACCAGCATAAGCTACACAGCTTTGGACAAGAAATTTAAGCTCTTAAATACAATTTTCCCACCTGCAAAATTGGCACCTACTTGCAGAGTTGTGATGATTAATAGTCCCGGTGTAAAGCATTGCAAATGGGCTCCTGGCACATGAAATGCATGGCTCCAGGGTTTACTATGACTACTACTGACTCCCCTTGGCATCCTTCCCACCACCCCAGCAAAGCAGTGGGCAATGTGGTGCCAAGGGGAAACCACCAATGCCCAAGGACCCAGAATTGAGGCTCAACTGCACACCCAAGCTAAGGGCAGGTCGGTAACCCTTACTAACCCTTAGTAAAAAGAATCTCACCACCCCACAGGTCTGCTGTGGGGATCTGAGAGTCTGCCAATGCTATGGGAGTTTTTAGAGCCTGTCAACCATAGGCTAAGCAGATAAATAGTGAAACAGAGGCTGTGGTATGGCAAAGCTGGTGTCTAGAAGGTTTCCCATCCCAGCAGAACACAATTACTGCCATGCAAACTAAGTTGCCAAATTGCGATTCCCCCCATAAAAAAGGGTGAGGAATCTGTATTTTTATGAGAAGCATTCTGACATCTACAGATAGCAATTAACTTACAGATTTTTATTAAACATGGTGCTGCCAAAACAATGTTGAAGGAAACATGCCATGCCATACAGGCCACCAGGGTGTATGTTCTGACCTCCTCCCTTCATCCAAGCCTGTCCCTGCCTGCTTACATCTGTTTCTGTCTGCTGTCCCCTCTTAGAGAGATTTTGTCCTGCTCCACTGAGTTCAAGAGGTACAGAGTTCAGAGAGGATGGCTTTTTGCAAACTTTAAAATGACAGAGGCTGGCCAGGCATGGTGGTGGTGCTGGCGCACACCTGTAATCCCAGCACTCAGAAGGCTGAAGTAGGAGGATTACCATGAGTTCAAGGCCAGTTAGGGCTACATAGTAAGTTCAAGGCCAGCCTGAAATACACACAAGGCCCTATCTCAGAAATAAAAATAAATGACAGAGGCGAGCAATCTAGAAAGTACCAGGTTTTATTATCTTTTTATAAAAAAAAAAAAAAAATCAGTAACAGACAACAGTGTGAGAAACAGCTACAGAAAAAGTGCTCACTCCAACAGCCTGAGGAAAAGGGAATCGGGGCCAGAAGAGAAGCCAGGCAGCTGGGCACCCGGCTTGAGTAGGTGTTGGAGCTAACAGCCACGGGGTACAGCAAGGGAGACGATTCCCCTCCCCACAGCCAGTGGGGTCAGAAGATCCAGCTTACCCCAGCTAAGCCAGCCACCCTCTCCTTTCTAAGAGGAGGAGTCCCAGAGAACAGGTCCCAGCTGGAGCCTCACCAGCCCCATCTTTTTCCTCTCCCTTGCCTAAAGGTGACAAAGGTCACTCCAGACAAGCCAAGCCGTAACTCGCTAAGCCAGTTTAGTTCCCTAGAGCAGTGCATCCCATAGGTGGAAATGGTCTCTCCCAGGGAGGATAAGTAAGTAGCCATGAGCCACATGTGGTAACTGAGCACCGGAAATGCACCCAGTGCAACCGAGGAACAAACTTCTAACTTTATGTGATTTGAACTGACCTAATTTAAACAGCCACATGTGGTTTCCATATCGGATAGTACAGCCAGAGTGTGAAGGCAAACTCTAGGACGGTGATGGCGAACCTTTTAGAGCTCTCAATGATAACAAACAGCCCACTGTGGCACGTGTGCCATAGGTTCGCCACCACTGCCCTAGGACCCCAGCTGGGCCCCAAGCAGAAGGCAGAAGAGGATAAAAACTTACGCCTTCAAACTGTTCCAACCCATCAGAAGGCACCAAGAACCGGGCAGGAAAAAGAGGCAGAAACCTACCCAGCCACACAGAAAGTCACTCACTCAGCCACCCAGCCAACATGAAACTTGAAATACCGTACTATATCCTGAAAAAATATATTTATCTATTTTTCTAGAACAAGAGATAATAATATATTACAAGAACACAGACAAAAATACCCCACCATCCTCTATATTATATCTTGAGAACTGCTACAAAACTATGTTTCAGCAAAAGCTACTTTCAGAAGAATCAGCTTCAGAAAGGGCCAAGGTCATGAGCAGGGGAGTGTGAAGTATTTAAAATGGGGGAGAGGCTTAAAGAAAGTAAAAAAAAAAGAAGGGAGGCCCTGTCTGAAGGTATAAATAGTAAAAAAAAAAAAAAAAAAAAAAAAAAAAATTAATAAAAATCATATCTGTCTCTTCTCTCATTTTCAAGAAACAAAAACAAAACAAAACCAAAACAAAAATGTTAAATACAAACTGAGCAGGTGCTGTGGAAATGCAGGAGAGTGAAGACTATCTCTGTTATCTCCACACTTGCGCAGAGACACTCTGCACAAAGGAATGAACCGTTTAAAAGAAACAGATTTACAAATAATCTACAAATTCATTTCAGCATGTGCTTTCAGTACTTCTCCCCTCCCTCCCCAAATAAAAAAGGTTGATTTCCAAAACTCACTCAAAACAGCCTAATGGCCCAGGACATACCAGAGTCCTATAGTGTGATCGTAAGTACCTGTGGCTAGACACACCACAGGGTGCAGAGGTTTCTAGCTCCTTCTCCCGATTCCTGGCAGAGGGGCAGGCTGGGAAGCGGGAAGAGGGCAGCCAGGGCAGACCTCCAGCAGGCACCCATGCACTGTCACCCTTCAGCCCCGGATGAGGCTTGTTCAGCACAGCCTCTAAGCACACTATATTCTAAGCCGGAAATTTTTTAAACGACCCAATCCATGCCTTGCCTTCAGAAAAGCCAAGTTTAACCCCACTTCTCTATCAGGGCAACTCTAGCCCAAAGAGTCAGGAAAAGATAGGCAGCACAGTTAGAAGATGATGTCACTTCTGACACTGAAAAGGTGACCAGAGCTGGAGATGCTGATAGGTCAGTAATAAGGTGCCCTCCCCTTACTTTAATGCCCACCGTTCACAATCCTTTGGCTTCCCTCCCCACTAAAGTCCAAGTAGTGTCTATGGGGAAGCTTCACGCGTAGAACTCATTGGTGGGGGCTTTTTTGTAGATTGGTTTCTTGCCCAAATCGTAGCTGCCTTCGTCCTTCTTCTTCATGCGGTACACCAGCAGCAGGATCAGGAAAACAGCAAAAAGGATGCCCATGACGCCGCCCACAACCAGAGCTGCAGAGGAACAGAGGGAAGGTAGAGTGAGACCTACGCAGTGAGACCTCGGGCTCTACCCGCTCTTCCACCCATGCGTCAGTGCTCTTATAGCCAGACACCCTGCCATCAGCACTGCCTGTGCCAGGGAGACAGATACCTTATGAAAGCGTCCCTCGTGACCTCAATTATGATGAGGGGTTCACTGGGCATTATAAGTCATTGAACACTATGGGCTAAGGTGGCAAAGCCACTATTTCAACCCACATTTGCCTTGAGTCCAACACCCAGGCCCTTTCCAAATACTAGGCAGAATCCCTGGCAATAGCTTATTAGCAATGAGCCAGGAACAAGAATAACAGCAGGCTGCAGAAACCCCCCTAGACATACATGTTCTTACAACGGAGACACCCTCTAGTTCTGTTTGCATATATACAGATCTAGGCCTACGTGTCTGTAGATTGGCAGATACCCTCTACATACGCATAGAACACAGTAATGCCCAGGTATTATGTTATCACGTAGATAATCACACATTCTGATTTACATTCCTGTGTAGACACAGGCTGGTTTCCATTCCCACCTCTCCCATCTACTACTGGCTGTGTGATCTGAGAGTAGATCCTTGTCTCACTCATTGCAAAATGGAACAGTAGTAATTTTCTCATATTTGTCCCACAGACTACATACCCTACTAGCCCAGGGCAGAACATATGCTCAAGATTCATGAACTGCAAACCTCTATGGCCTGTCTCTGTTCCCAGCACCCTGAATGGGCCTGTGCAAGAGTGGGTGTTTAATAAATGGTATTCACCTGACTCACTAAGGAGCGGGTGGCTAGTGTCAGGCAGAGGTGGGCATCTGTTTGATCCCCCACACCAGCTGGCCCGAATGACTCATTCCTGTTTGTTAGGGGCAAGCATGGCTCACAGAATCCTTTCTGTGGCAGATTGAGTCCCTTAATTCGGTCTTACTCAGGCTAAGAAGATTAATTTTCTATCCCCACACATACTGCAAATGTATACACAGACTGGGGTAGAGTGGCACGGAGGAGCTCAGTAAGGTTCTTTCCTGGCTAAAATCCTATAAAAAGCATCCACAAAGTACCTCCCAGAGGTGCCAGAAAAAGCCCATGGGATATCTGATGTCAGCCCCCACCCTGTTCCTATCACCTCTCCCTCCGACAACCCCACTCCTCCGTCACACCCCTACTGTGTTGGGACTCCCCAGAGGGCTCTGAAGTTGACAGTGCTTCTGGGTCTAAAGGCCAGGTCCTCTGCTTCCTGGCTTTGGGACTTGGGACACATTATTTAGACTCCCTTTTCGGTTGTTATAGACAAGAGGTACTCAAAAATCATACGGCAAAAGGCAAGCACTGCATAACACTCATGGGTGCTGAAAATGTACCTTCCCATAAAGGTTTTGTACTGACATAATTCTCAAATGGAAGAGAAAAGAAGCCACATGTGGTGGGGAACCCCTGTACTCCCAGCACTCTGGGAGGCTGAGGAAGCAGAATCACAAGTTTGAGCCCAGCCTGGGCAACCTAGCAAGATCCTGTCTCAAAATAAAAAGTTATAAAAGGGACAGAGCTGTAGATCGATGAAAAGGTCCTGGGTTCAAACCTAGTACCACAAAAAAAAAAAAAAAAAAATCCAAGAGAGAGTAAACAGCTAACCTTTCTCTAGTTCTTCTCTTGCTATGAGATCCAAAGCCTGGGCCCCAGTCTCCCCATGGATTAGAAATAGCAGCTCGACTAGATCAGTGATTTTTAATTTTTTCCTTAGCAGCACAGAACCTGAAGTGCTAAAGCAAAACCTAATAAACAGATTCAACCTAGTAAAGATAAAATCTGCAGCTGGCAGATCTAAACTACACCAGCTGAGAGTGAAACTGTGGTTGGTAAAAGACAGGTGTGGAGGGTTCAGTTCCAAAATACTCCTACTTAAACACTGTGAAACCTCCAGGGCTAACTGGTCTCAAAGGGCTCCTCTATTTCTAATGACCCATCCTCCTATACCCACTAACAAAGTGAAGGGGAACTTAAAAACATTGGCTCAGGTACCAGGACACCAAAGTCAGGGCTGAGCTGGGCCCAGGTGCCTGGGGCTATACTCCCAGGGCAGTTCATTGGCAAGATGCAGGTGCCATTTTCTGTCTGGCTAGATGGAAGTGGGACAGTGACATATGGCATAGGGCTCCTTTCTCTACCTCAGGGCCCCTCAGAGCTGATGGTTTAGCTGGGTCTCAAGAGACAGGAGTTGCCCAGCATGCTGGGGTGTGCACTCACTCATCCAGTTCATCCACAGTGACCCTCAGCTACAGTCTGTAAAACTGTAGGAAGTTGCCAGGCATGGTGGCACACACCTGTAGTCCCAGCACCAGGAAGGCTGTGGCAGAAGGATCACAAGTTCGAGGTCACCTTGGGCTACATAGTGAGTTCAAGGCCAGCCTGAACTACAAAGTGAGACCCCCGTATCAAAAAATGCAAACCCTCCTCCAAAAACAAAAAATCCTCCAAAATGTAAGGAGTCCCTTTCTTCCTCTGACAACCAGCTTTGGAGACCACACCTATCCCTAGGGCTGCAGAGAGAGGTTTGGGGATCCACCCCAGCTGATGATCTCCTAGCCAGGCTTGAAACAGCCACTCCTCAACCCTCGCTCTGGGACAGCACTTACCCATCACGTCTCCAGCACATTAGTCAAAAGCTTTTACCTGAAACCAAATATTTAACCTCCCTAGGCCTCACTGTCCTATGCTGTCACAAGAACATACCCTATGCCCCACCTACTGAGGACAATAAAAATTCAGTTATAGATAATCCTAACAATCAGAAAGGCTCTTCACAGTTTATAAAGTAATTTCCTATTTTATGTTTCATGGACTCATTACACCAACTCAGGGAGGTATCAGTGTACCCATTTTACGGGTGAGGCAACTGAGTCACAACCTGTTCCAAACGACTCTTCTCAGCCAAGGTCACAGGGCTGCCAAGCAACAAAGTAGAGAGAAAGGAAGCCAACCTAATTCTAAAGGGACTCTAGGCTTTTAAGTGAAATTAATGTTTAATGATTAACTCCCAGATGCCAAAGCCAGGCTGTGAAAGTGCTTTAGCTGAGAGAAGCTTAAGGCAAGGGAATAACTAACCCAGGCCCTACTCTTTAGAAGCCTTTGATGTGCGGTTCTTCCTCCCCCTCCACTAGGCTGCAAGTAGTTAAGAGTCACACCTTAAGGGAACATAGTTTTACATTGCCCCAGAGCGTTGGAGACACCCTGTCCCCAGGCTCTTTTCTTCCTTCAGGGCCTGTCCACACTAAGTGGTCCTACCTGCGAGGACCTCAGTTCTTTCAAAGATGCTGCTGTCCTGGGCAGTGCTGGACATGGACACCTTGTTAGACACATCCTTCTCCCCTTCAAATGGTGAGTCCTTCTTGGGGATGATTTCGTTCTCCTCCAGTTCTTTGGGTTCACTGGGGACCCAATTCCCAGGCCCCACCCTCTCAGGGATGTAGTTATCTAGAGGCATCTGAATGGGGGGAAAGAGAAGACAGGAACACTGAGTAAGTTTTCTGATGGATGGAGGGACACAGGCAACACTCAAGAGAATCTGGACTGCCGGCAGGCAGGTATTCTAGAGAACCTCTCTGGAAGCAACGGGGCAAAAATCTTAGAAACTCCTTTGAGGCACTAGGTTTGCCTCTGGGACTCTAGCCTCCTGAGCTAAACTTGTGTCAAAAACAGTTGCCTGTGCTGGGGTTGATGGCACACGCCTGTAATCCCAGCCTGTAATTGCAATACTCGAGAGGCTGAGGCAGGAGGATCGTTGCAAGTTCGAGACCAGCCTGGGCTACAAAGTGAGCTCAAGGCCAGCCTGAACTGCACAGTGAGACCCCACCTCAAAAAGACAAAAATAAATAAAAACCAAAACAACACTTGCCACAGTGTAGTAATTTTAGGATTGCAAGAAATTATATACAACTTTTCCACCAATAAGGAGAATCAAGTGAATGATTACACACCCTATAAAAATGACAGGGACATTTAATTACACAGGGAAGTACTAAGGACCACTGTGAGTGGAAGATGCAGTACACAGAATTGTATACAACTGGAGATCGGCACATAGAAAACAAGCTAGTGTTGACAGTGATTATCCTAATTATAACTGTGCCTGTCTTAATTGAACTGAGGGACCCACATAAAAAAGGCTTCTTGCACATCCTTCACTTATTCTGCACCCGGGAGCTGTATCTTCTGCCTGTCTCAGTAAGTGTGTGTTACGGGGTGGGGGATGACAGTGGACACATGCCATACTTACCAACGGTTGGATCCCTTCAAGGATGGTCTTGGAATCCTCCGAATCATCTGTAAAGTCAGAATGGCTGTGTGAGCATGAGCTCCATTAACTGAAGTAACTTGACGCCCTCAGCCATGGCTGTAGGGAGTCCGCCCTGATAACCAGCCCCTAAATGCTCCATATCAAGCAAATGAACGTTCCCACCTCAACCTCAGCCACCTAGTTTGAAAAATGGGGCTCCTGACACCTGCCTCCCTGACTTTCACAGCGATTTGTGCACCAGTAGCTAAGCAGGTGCTGTGTCAGCTCAAAACCCTGGTTAATAGTGAATCTCAGGACCAATAGCAACATTTGCAAGCTGGTCAGAAATGCAGAATTTCAGGGTGGACTGAATCAGAATCTATATTTAAACAAGATCCTCAGAATTAAAGTCTGAGAAGGAAGACTCTACAATATCAAATACTATATATTAAGACTTTACCGAAGCTAGGAGAGGAGGCACATACCTTCAATCCCAGCTATGTGGCAGGCTGAGGCAAAAGGATCACAAGTTTGAGGCTAGCCTAAGCAACTTAGTGAGAGCCTTCTCAAAATAAAAACATTAACAAGGCTAGGAAGCCACTAGTGCACATCTGTAAACCCAGCACTCAGGAGGCTGAGCCAGGAGGATCACCATGACTTTGAGACCAGCCTGGGAAATGAACCATAGTTCATTTGCTATGAACTGCATAGCAAAACCTGGTCTCAAAAACAAACACAAAAAAACCCACAAACAAAAAAAACCCCTAAGTATACACAATGAAGTTTATTTTTAAAACACAATACTGATATACAGTTATTCCCATTGTGCAAATTAGGAAATCAAACCTCGTAAATGACAGAGTCAAGGTTTGAACTCATGACATTTGTTTTCATTAGACAGGGTCTCACTATATAGTTCAGGCTGGCCTCGAACTCAAGGTGGTCCTCCTGCCTCAGCCTCCCAGAGTACTGGGATTATAGGTGTGTGCCACCCGGTGGGGCAACATGACTACTTTTATTGTTTTTAATTCAGGAGTATGTGACTTCAGAGCTCAAACTGAGAATCATTAACATGTCCCTAAGCACAGGAGGGAGATCTCCACGGTTGTCCCACATAGTGGCCTGGGCCAGGAAGTGAAAGATCACAGAAGGCAGTGGCCTCTGGTCTGGCCTCAGCCCCTTCACATGCCCCTAACCCCCACTGCAGCAGGGGAAACATGCCGCTCCCAGCCCACCCCACTTCTGAGGTAGAGTTTTTCCATGGGTCCTTCCTCCCCACCCCCTCATCCCCACCCTTCCCTCCACCAAAGGGAGGAGCCTATGAGTACACGTTCAGGCTGGTACCAGAAAAGCCAGAGCTACAGTGAATTCAAAGCAACACACGACTGGCTCCTGGCAGTCTCTGGGATAGAAACGGTTAATACAGTTACTTCTGTTTCTTCTTTTGAGGACCAGGAAGGGCACTATAGGGAAACTCCCCCCAAATCCAAGTCCTCAACATGGTCACTTTCCTTATTGGTGGGGACACCATCCCTCGAGCCCATGCCCCGGCTGCTCAGCACGTCCTCCGTACCCAGATCTCCAGAGCCTGACAGCTCAAAGTCATCAGGTTCCTGCCCTGGCCCCCCGATATCTTCATCGTCAGGCAGAGCTCCAGAGAAGTACTGGCCTTCTAGGAGATCATGGGGGTCGATGACCTCGGTCTCTCGGATCTAGGATAAAGAAAGGAAAAGAATCAGCCAATAGCCTTCAAGTGCTCTAGAACCGCAGAGCCCCAAACCACAGAAGTAGACTTTCAGGGGCTAACAAGGGGCCAGCTCTGATGACTTGTGTCCTGGATCCTGTTCTACCCCTATCTTGCTATGTGACCTTAGGAGAGTCTCTTTCCTATTCTGGGTGGATAAATATAATAAAGGTGCTAATAAGCAAATTATTAATATTACTAGGTACCATTTACCTGAACACTTGCTATTTGCCAAACCCTGTTTTTAGTAACTCTTGACGATATGTTAACTTATTTTACAACCAAGGAAACTGGGCTTCAAAGACTTTAAATCACTTTCTTTGGCGACACAGCTGGTGGGAGGACAGCACACAGGGCTGCCTGGCTTCAGAGCCGGTGGTTCCCAGGCACAGAGGCAGCCTGGGATCACTGTCCTCCAGGGCCTGTGATGCAGCAGCAGCTGATTCACACATGGCAGGGAGTGGACTACGGGCCCTGGTCTTGCCCATTTTGGGACACCTTTCCCAGCTGAGTCAGACTGGGCTGGACAGCCTCAGGTCAGGAAACCGCTCAGACCTGGTGACTCAGGAGCGCACTTCTGCAGTCTTACCTTCCAAAACCTCCCACAGATTTGTCCTGCTGCTAGCAGGACGGAGAGCACAGAGAGGCACAGTCTCTGCCCTCACATGTGTTCCACTCTGGCACCATTACGGGTCACTCAGCACCCACTCTATGGAAACCTAGCTTGGCAGCCTGAGGTCTACCCCCACCAAGCAGCTTTTAAAAATAAACTGTGAGGGGCTGGGGATTTAGCTCAGCGGCAAAAGCGCCTGCCTGGCAAGCGCAAGGTCGTGAGTTCGGTTCCCGGTACCGGAGAAAAAAACAAACAAAACAAAACAAAACAAAACAAAACAAAACAAAAACCTAAAAATAAACTGTCAAGGGTCCAAGGAGACCAAGAACTTTCCCAGCACCCTGCAGAATACCAGTTACTCTGGGACCATCCCCTAGCTCAGGTAAGTGGAAAACAAAGCTCTCCCAGTGGGGGCAGGAAGCACCGGGATGCGCACCACTCCTCCTCTAGCTTCTGGCCTTGGGTTTGCACCTGCCCACACAATAACCTTGAGCAAAGTTCATTATTTCACTCCCACGTCAGCACCATCTCTCTAGATCCCATAACTGCAAGAGATGGAGGCTGCTCAGAAGCACGGAACATACACTACAGACCCCAGGGTGGTCCTGTCCTCCCTTCACAGAATTTGGGACTTAAGCAAATAATTAGCAAATTATCTAAAGTCAGAGTGTTAGATATGTAACTCAGTAGAAAGAGGCCAGAGCTCTGTTTCTGACTGCCCTGAGCTATCCTTCACCCAGGGAGAGACAGTGACACAGCAGGGATTCTGAGAAGGAACATCCATCCCTGTGATGAGACATCCAGGAAAGCCGCTTCAGAAGCCAGGTTTTTCCTGCACTCTCCCCTCTGGCTTCCGGGAGAGGCGGTGGAAGCTGGCCGTCCCCTCTTCCACCCCCACACAGTAGATGCTGGATGCCCGGAAGGGAAAATGGTCAGGCAAGGGAGGGAGGTAGTGGGTAGGCATCTCTCTCTCCTGGGGTGGGCAGGAAGATCTTTGCAGAGCACCTGGCACACAAGCGGGTGGAGAGCCAGAAGGGGTTAAGCCCTGCTTAGGGATGACTTCATGACTCTGGAATCAAGAGCTGTTGCTGAGCCGCTGGAGCTGGAATTCCAGTCCCCCCCACACAGCCTGTGCCTGTGGCTTTGGTTTGGCAGAGCAGGGAGAAGGCTCCTCCATAGTTGCGCAAGTGCCTGAACCTAGGGTGGGGTCCCTGTGCTCCTACCCCAACCTCCTGCCACAAATTCCCCTGGAGCTCAGAATCTCAAACAGCAAGGCCCCTATAGCTTACTCAGTGTCAGGCCTTAACCAAGCACTTGGCATGACATAGGTCCTCTTAAAAGAGCCTTTCTCCAGAGGTGGAAACGAGGGCTCAGAAAGGTAGTCACTAGTCTATAGGCCACATGGACAGAAAGTGGCCATGCTGGGCCAAAACCCAGGCAAGAGCCACTTGGATTTCAGCAGCATACACGTATGTGAACATCTGTGTGCATTAGACTGCCAACCCACCCCAGGCTAGAAAGCAGCCTTGTTAAAATGGGTGCATCACAAGTAGAAAAGTTAGAGAAGAGGTACTTTTGTCACTTGTTGACCTGGCTTGAAAACCACACTGGCTGTGGGTGTCAGAGTTAAGTCCTCAGGCAGAGGCTGAAGTTCCACCTACAGCCTGGGGATAACAGAAGCTGGGATTCCAACGCAGGTGTCAGGACCAACAACCTTTCCCAGCCTGCCTCATCCCCAGGAGCCATGAACGTTGTTTATGAGGCCAACGCTTTTTAGTAGGTGAAAGCGCTACGGAGTGTTTCCAAACAGGCCATGGGCTTAGCGCAGGATGGGGGTTAGCAATCACCTCCATTTTATGTTAGAGAAATGAAGACTAAGAGAGAAGGGCAGGTAGGTCAGTGGCAAAACCGAAGAGAAAGCCCAGTTTATTGCCATTCAGTCCCCTCAGGGGGCACCTGCTCATCCCTGACTCCATTTTTTTACACCAGGTCTCTGAGGAGATGAACGGTTAGTATAGGGTCACACAGGGACTCAGTGTGCTCAAAGATCGGATCCTTGTTCCAGAGCTCCAAAAGGCAGGAAGGGCGAGCGTAGGAGACTTCCCTCTTACAGCGCCTCCAGGGGCCCATGAGGCCATGCTGCAGCCAAGACATCGGGAACGGAATCCTCCGTGAGCCCCAGGGGCACCCTCTCTGCCCCGTTCATCTCTGATAAGAGGGAAACTCCTAAGTGAGCAGGGGTCGTTGAGAAGGAGGCCAGCAAGACAGGGCCAAGTCCCATGGGATTGTGGGCACTTGCCTTTTTTTCTCCTTTTAGTAGGGATTGGGAAAGCACCAACAGCCCTCCCCTCCCCCGCCTCCTTTTCAGACAAGGTCCATTCAGTCTGGGGTGGCTTTGAGAAGTCGGGCCACCCAGCAGCCAGGCCCAGCCCTGACCAGAGGGACCTCGCCCTGCTCCTGGCTAAGGATGTGGTCTGTTCTCCTCAGTTCACCCCATCCCTGCCCAGGCACGTGTGTGTTCACATGCGTGTACAGGCACAGGAATGCCCTTGGGTCTCCCTGCACCTTTGTGACTTTCACAGTCACGCAACAGAAATCAGCAGCTGAGTGAGGCAGTGCGCCTGGGCCCGGGAGCCCTGCTTGCCCTGCGGCTGGTGGGCACCCAAGTCGGTGCCCGGGAGAGATTAGAAGCGGTAGATTCTTCCCCAAACTATGCAGGACAAAGACTGGGGAGATGTGCTTTTGCTTTATAGGGACAAACACCTGCTAACAGAAGGTTTCTGAAGCCAGTGAGCCCAACTGGCTCATTTTATAACCTCTCAGATTAGAAGGCAAAGGACATTGTCAAGGTCACCCAAGCAGCTGGCAGCAAAGCCAGACTGGGAAGCTGTGTCCCTTCGCTCCCAGCCTGGAGGCAAGGGTCTTGGCTAAGGGTTCTCAGCAAATCCATGGACAGCAGCTATCAATCCAATATAGCGCTAGCCCTCAGGCTGCAGCATAAAGCTAGGAAAAGCCCACCAACCCTATCCCAAAGCCCTACAGCTTTGTTACCCCAGAAAAAGCATGGGCGCTGGGGTGACAAATAGGAGTATCCACTACAGTACATGCCAGACAATCTGCTGGTCTGTCTATATATAGGCCCAACAGCAGTGTAAGGTGCATACCCATTTTGCAGATGGAAAAAACTGCACTGAGTCATTCATCCAAAGTCACACAGAACTGGGATTCAAAGCTAGGACTTTCTCAAGACTGTGTCCTAACCACAACCAGGCTTCACTACTCTTCACCTCTCCACCCTAACCCAACAGCCCACAACACACTGCCCAAGGCCAGGGCTCCAAGCCATCCCTTCCCCTGCCTAGGAGTAAACACAGGTGAAAGTGATAGTGCTTAAACAAAGAAACAGAAACTTGGCTGGAGTACTAGGGAGGAGTTCAGGGTCAAGGCTTGGTTAACTGTGAAGGAATGAGAGCTTTTCCCCCACCTGCCTCCTCCCCAGGGAAGGCAAGGTTGGGGCCATGCTTGAGCCTTCTTTTGGAAAGCAAGAACGTAAGGGTAATAATTGAGCAAGCCAAATTTGGGGGGTGGGGATGAGTACTCTTGGGCTCTAACTGCTGCACCCACCAGATTCTGGCAGATCTGTGGGAGGGTGTACAGTACACATCTCCACCCCCAGCCCCATTCTGAAGGGCCTCACAAAATGGGCAAGATCCACCAGCAAACCATAGTCTCCCCCTTCCTAACTGCATGAGCCTAAGAGGTATTATGGCTCTTAAATTCTCCGTTTCCTCTTTTGTAACTGGGGCTTTTAACGCCTTGCAAAGTGATGAGAACTGAGAGAAGTATGTATACGAGCGATTCAGCAGGTGGCCTGGTACAAAGCAGGTGCTCAATCAGTAGTGACTATTATTAACCCCCACCTGCCTTTCTTCTGGTTACGGGGATTACTGATCCAAGGGTCAAGAAAGAAAGTTGTGTTGGCTACACAGAAGCAGTTCCAGCGCTGGAGAGAAGCTAGTCAGTAGATGGGGAAGTACTTTGTAAGCTACAGAGGGACATACCCCACATGAGTTATTATTTTGCTTCTGAGACCAGAGACTTTCAAAAACCAATCAGGTCCCTTCATATGATACAAGAGAAAAAGACCCAGAGACGGTGGAGATCTACCCAAAGTTATACAGCTTTCAGCACCTGTCCCTAAGCAAATGAAGAAAAAATTTGTTGTTTTTCCAAAAGGAGCAGATGACACTAACCACAGACATCCGAAATTCTACCAGAAACTTGGATCCACAGAGTATTTCCTGACTTGCCTAAGAACAATATATCTAGAAGGCAAAAAAAAATCACACACTAAT